CAGCACCCTGAGCAAGGTGTCACCCCAGGAGCGTTCTGCTTATCATCATATACAGTTCTCACCCAAGGTCCACTTGTCTTTGGGCTGCAGTATCCCAAGACTGGACGAGCTCCTTTCCAAATAGAAGTGTCTGTTGGTTTATGGTAAAGGAAATAGGTAACAATACCACAGCACCTGATAGAAACAACCTGAGTGTTGGGGATAGCAAGATATCCAAGTCTTCTTCTCTGGCCCTGAACTTCAGAAACTATTCCAACCTATTCATCAAGGTTTCCCTTCCATTTTCTAATCCCTGTTACAAGGTGTCTAAAACTGTTGAACAGCTGGGGCAAACCAGATATGTAGGAGAATCCCAATAGTCCCAGACTTTCACAAGTGCTCTGACTTGGGAGTTATAGTGAGGCTGCAGCCTCTTTGCTCTATCAGGAAAAATTTCCATCTATCTTAAGAAAGAGTCCCATTCTGCTTTAGGATGAAGAACTGTCGGAATGACAGACAATTCTGAAAACTTTCATTTTTGGAAACTTACACTGGAATGGTCAGGGAATGAAGAGTTGTTTGTGTTTCTGCCACTCCCACCGCTCAGAGCCAGGGAAAGCATCTCAGCTGTACCTGCAGCCTCCCAGCAGAGAGGAGAAAGACCAGGTGTCTGATTGAGGGGGAACTGCGAGAGGCTGACAGAAGGACTGATTTGGGAGTGGATGGGAGTAAATTGGATTGATTTGGAGATGGATGTGCAGAAGTAATTGCCAAGTAGTGGTCAGAGCTCCTGAAGCTCCTGATCAGTGTCAATTCCATCCTTATCAATAAATCTGTCACCACTAATTCTCATTCACAGTTTGAGAAGAGCCTGAAAGGGTTAGAAAAAAAAGATTAGATGCAAAAATGCAAAAGGTAAGTGCATAAATCTGTAATAATCAGTAAGAGCCAATTGCAGTTATTTGAGTATTTTTGTATGTAAACCATTATTTGTTTTTTTGTTTTTGTTTTTTATCTTTTAAGGATAGAGAGCAGAGCAACAGAGGAATTGCTCTGGAACCGGTCTAAACCTGTGTTTGATCTGAGCCTTGTATTCTGCTCCCACCATCATCAAAAACAGGTGTGTCAGAAACCTGGGGAAGAGATCTCTACCAGTGATAACAACCCCCGTGGGATAAAAGTCTTTCTATCCTTATCACTTATGCCCTTCAGGATGAGGTTTTCTATTTATTGTACACATTTTAAATTCTATAACTTGTTTTCACTGTGCAGTAAATGCCTAACCCCTATTTAATGCCGTGTAGGCAGCAGCCCTTGCTAATACAGGCACCAGTAGCTTCTTCATTGCAAAAGGAAATGGGTAACATGGAAGAGGTGTGGTATGAGCTGTGTTATAGAACATGGGTGAATTTGCAGGAGGGAGATGGGCCATTCTGGCAGCACTTGTCCCCCAGCAGCACAGGGAAACGAGCAGGGCTGCAGCTCGCCATGTATGGCAGACAGGCAGGCGGAACGGGTGCAGAGTGGGAGAGGCAAATCATCAGGGCCATGAGTTCACATGGATACAAGCATGCAGCACGCTGGATCACATGCTCACTGCCCGGCCATTTCATTCTATTCTGATGTTTGCTTTTACAAGACTACAAATATGCTTTCAATGCATTTGTTAAGTGCAGTTTGACTTTCTGATCTCCTAGCCTTGCATCTCATTCAGGACTGAAGAAGGTGGTGTGTAAGTCCTCAGCATAAAGAGCAGCCAATAAAAAGTAGTTGTGAGGTGGTACCACAGCCATTCCTGTGAAGCAAAGTCTAAACATTTGTTTGCTCTCTTAAAAAAAAAAAAAGTAAAAAAATTAGGACAATAGAAGAAACATGCGACTACTAACAAATTTTCAAAAGGATCAGTTTTGCTTCCAATTTACAAGATTATTTTCATTATCAAATTCATTTCAAATTATAAAGGCAATGAAAATTTCAATGTGATAGATAGAGGTAGAAGCAATCCTACAACTGCATGAAAATTTCAGATACTTCTGCAGCATTTAATACTCAGAACACCAAATGATCAGATGATGCCACTACTCTGAGTATATGCTGTATATAATTTGTTCACTGGGTTGGCAGTTAATCACAGAACCACAGAATGGCTTAGGTCAGAGGGAACCTCAAAGCCCTCCCAGCCCCAACCTGTGCTGTGGGCAGGGCTGCCCCCACCAGCTCAGCTGCCCAAGGCCCATCCAACCCAGCCTTGAATGCCTCCAGAAATGAGGCACTCACAGCTCCGGGCAGCAGTGCCACTGCCTCACTGCCCTCTGAGTATAAAGAAGTTCTCCACACTATCTAATTGAAATCTCCCCTCTTTTGTTTTAAAGCTGGTATCTCTTGTTCTACTACTATGCTTCTGTTAAAAAATTCCTTGCCATCTTTCCTTCCAAGCTATGTTGAAACTGAACTGTCTGCTACTTCTGAGTAAGATCTTGCAGCTGGCTGGGACCTCTACTGGAACGACAATCTCTTTCTAATGCTTTTATCTGTAGCTGTGTGAACATCTAAACGTGAGTTTCCAGTGCCACACCTACAATAAGAACACCTAATGCTCGCCTGAAAATAAATAAAGATTGCTGACAGACATTCATGATACCAATGCCAGCACGCTACCTATTGTTTACATATTCTAACAGCATATTGAAAAAAAACCAAACAACCAAACAAAAAAAAAACAACAACAGATGATGAAATCCATAGAAGAGACTTGGAGTCTGGAGTGTAGGCCTGCCCCTAGTCTAACATCCAAGCTGTACCACAAACCGCATCCTAGACAGTCTGACCTGATGTTTAATCCGACAGGCGAGATCTGACAAAGCCCTGCACAGCTGCTGGAATCCAGACTTTCCGAGCCTCAGTACTTGTGGGTAAGTTGCGGCGGCTCCTCACTTGGTAGCCCAGGGAGGCTTTGAACTTCTGTCAGCCACTGCAGTGCTCCACGTATTTGGGTGTTTGTAAAGCCTCGTTTTCAGTGCTGGATTTTGCCGTGGGAGTCACATGCTGCATCACCCCAGTCTATTTGTGGATCTGAGCCTATACTCACACGCTCACATTTAAGCTGGCTGAAAGCCTCTCAGAATTGTAGGCAAAGGTTAATTTTGTGTACTCAAGCTCACGGCTGTAACAGAAAGCAGGTGAAAGAGAGAGAAGCTGGAAAGGGAGCAAAGGCGGGGAAAACTGGTGGTGCAGAGGGTCCCCTATGCAATGCTGTTACCTGCTGGCTGGCAGCAGTGAGAGCAGCCAGGCAGGGCCACAGCTGTGGTGTTTGTATCAACCTTTCTCTCTTCCTTCCTTCCAATTTGCTGCCATAACCAACTGGATATTTTGGCTGTTTATAGAAGCAAACCAAGACTCGCTACTACTGTTCTAAGGAAAACTGTGAAAACATCCATCCCACCAAATTCATCCAACGATGGAATTATTTTATGATATGCTCTTCAGTACTGAGTGAAGTTCATCTCCTGATAAGGAAGTCTGTTTTCCTTTGTTACTGATTTTTTCGCTTTTGTGCAGAGTAACCACGGTTGTTTGATTCTTTGGGTTGTTTTTTTGTTTTTTTTTAAGTCTTCCTAAAGTAAAAGGATCTTACCTCTCTATATACCTTTAGGGAGAGGTCTTTTTATCAACAAGGAACAGTAAATTCAGATCTTAACAAACACTTTACCTGGTACACTTAAGATGAAACACGTCTGCTAGCCTTTGAAAGTCTGCTTTGTCTGGTGCAAGTCTATTGCTAGGCCCCCATACAGCTACCTGGGGACATATAAACCTGCAAAATCAGTGCTCTTGCAAGGAAGTTAGGAGACAACTCACGTATGAAGTACAGTGGACAGCCTTTGATTTTTTTATCATGCTATTTTCTGCCTTTGAGTCTTTGAGAACATTATGGATTTGAATTACAAGTTCCTGCAGCAGCCTGCATATTGTAAGGACCAACCGCAGTGGGACAGAGCGGCCCTCAACCAGCGCTCAACGCGCAGATCTGCAGTTTCACAGAGAACAGCTGCACGGCTATGTAGCAGTCCTCTGCCAGGCCAGCAAGCTGTGTTACCTGACACAGCATCTGCATTATCTTCTTCACATCAAACGATTTTCAAGAGGGTGGCAGAGACAAGGAGAAACTCCAACTGGTGCATATTATTCTTAGGTTTTAATGCACCCCTTGGCAGCCAGCCAAAGCGAGCTCTCAGAAATTCTGTACTCCATCCAGAAATCTCAGTGAAACCCTGCAAATCATGAGAGTTCAAACAATTAATGCAAGGTTCTCTTCATTTGTTTTCTTGGTTTGGAATTGTTATGATTCTGACTCCAATTTTTCCAGCATGGAATTTATAGAAAAGAAGAGCCCTGGAAGCAGCATGATTTCCTCCAACAGACTGGAAGCATCCTCCCGTGCCTTCACAAACCAGTGCTGCTCCATGATAACATCAGGGTTGTGGCCTCCGCAGCTCTGATGTGAAGCCGTTCCCAGGGCTGCGTGCCGCTGGCGGTGTGAAACCTCTTAATATCAGCTGAACGATTCGTACTGGGCGTCCTTCAGCGTCACACAGATCCCACTTCAGGAAAGCACGGCGTGCTGCGAGGCCGGTGACAAGGCCCTCTTGTACCTCCTAGCAGCAACTCTATGTCAAAATATCACCAGCAGAACAAAAACCGCGGCGCCGGCAGAACGCGCTCCGCGCTGCGGAAGCCCGCCGTCCCCATCGGAGGGGCACGGCGCCCCCGGGGAGGCCCAGCACGGCTGCGGGGCGGCCTAAGGGACCTCCCCGCTCCGGGAAGGCGGTGGGCGCGGGATCGATGCCGCCCGCGGGGCACCGAACGGCGACGGAGGGGAGGCGGCGCCCGGCGGGTGCGAGGCGCCGGGGGGAGCGGGACACCACCGCCCAGCCTCGGACGGCGGCGGGGAGCGGCCCCAGGCCCCGTGGCCTCCGCCTCCTCCGCCAGCACAGGGGAGGACAGCAGCTAGAGGGAGCTCCTCCGGACTGCATCTGCCCGTGCGCCCCGGCTCCTTTCATAGGCTCCCCCGCCTCCTCCCCTCCCTCCTTCCCCCGTGATGGCGGAGGACAGCGAGTCTGCGGCCAGCCAGCAGAGCCTGGAGCTGGATGACCAGGACACCTGCGGCATAGATGGCGACAATGAGGAGGAGGCCGAGCACGCCAAGGGGTAGGGCGCGCTGCGGGCACGGCGCTGCCTTTCTTCTTCCCTCTCTCAGGTGGCGGTAGGGCGGGCTCGGCGGGGCCGCGGCGGCCGTTCGCGGTGCGGGGAGAGCTGGGCTCCGGCGCGGGGCTCGCGGGAACGGGCGGCTGTCAGCCGGCGGGCGGCCTCCGTGGCGCGGCCCGCGCTCCGCCCGAGCCCATGCCGGCCGCGGGCACCACTCGCCTTCCTCCCGGGCCGCCCTCTGCCGTAGCGGGCGGGTGGGAGGACGCCGCCTGCCCGGGCCGCGCCGCCTTGCTCCGCTCCCGCGGGGAGGTCTTCGCCGAAGGAGGAAGCGTGGGGGCGGCGGGCCTGGGGAGCGGAGGGGCCTCGGCCGGGGAGGGTTGGGCGGCTGCCCCGGCCGGACGGCGGAGTTAGAAGCCGGTCCGCGAGCGTTCCTCGCCTAGGGAAGGGGAACCCTGCTCTGTTGTGTCTGTGCACAGCGGCTTTCCGGCACGGAGTGGCTCCGTCTCGGGGTCTGAGCCGTAGAAGCTTCCCCGGCCGTGCCGCTCCCGGCTGCCCCGCGTGTCCCGGCGCGGAGCGGGCACGGCTCTCCCCGTGCTGCGGGGCGGCACCGCGTCCCTGTCATGCGCTCCCTCCTCCTACTCGGCGTCCTCTATTGTCCGGATCGAAATAGCAGCTCTAAATCCACATGTTGTGTGGAGCAGAGAGGGTGCTTCAGCCAGCGGAGCGATGCTGTGCCGCCTGTGGTGGCTTTTCTCCCCTCGGATCGCCTGCAGCAGCCCAGGGACGCGAGCCCTGCAGCGCGGGCACCCCTCGGTCTGCGGCGTGCTTCCATCTGGGCACCCGCTGCCACGGGCCTGGCTCAAGCTGCAGCTTCTGGGAGGAGATGCGTTTAAAAACTGTCTTCGTTTAGACATGCCTTCTTGCTGTTTTGGGAGGTGGAAAACTGACGGCAAAGAAAATGCTTCTTTGTCACAACCAGGAGTAGCCCAAAATAGAAATAGGTTAATTTATATACCGCTACATGAATACCTTCCTCATGAATTTCTGATTCATTTGGTTGAGAGCATCCGTGGGGGTGATTGATGCTTGGAGATGTAAGCTGTTTGTCATCTCCTGCCCGAGGTTTGCTTGGCAACAAGCAGCTCTGCGTCTTACATGCAGTGAGAGGAGCCTGGGAACCCTGGAGGGGAGGAGGGCTGGCTGCTTTAAAAGGCAGCAAGGGGAAAACTTCCCTGTGTGCTGCTGGGTCTGCGCATTCACAGCGTGGATGCAGAGTGCTGCTGTACCCCAGCCTGGCCTCCACTGAGCTCACTGGGACACCTCATGCAGCTGTGGACTGTGCAGTGTTCTCTCAAAAACTTGTTTTTGTTGAGTGTTGCAGAGGTGTTTTAAGGAGTATTTCAAAGAAGCTCCTTAATTCGTCTTTATTTGGAAGATTTCGCTTCCCACTTCAATATGAAATGTAATGAACTCAGAAGGAGACCGTTGCTGTAGAGAAAAGCCTCTTAGTATCAGTTTTCTATGCTGTTTTCATTGCATGAAGTCTAATATTGACTTCAGAGTGACTGTATTATGTTTTAAGTATTTGAGAACCTTCTTTGCCACAACTTTCTGCAAGCTGAAGAATTCAAACAAGTTCCATCACATGCAAAGATATATGTTACGTTACAGTTACAACTACGTCTTAAGATCTGCCCTGCAGCAGGGAAGTTAACCCATGGCAATAGGAGCCCGTATTGTTCTCTGTTTTTTCCCCTTTGCTGTGTTTTCATTTTGGAAGTAGTTTTGAAGTTTACTTGTAGTTCATAGGTTTGGCTTTGTTTAGGTATGCAACCTATGAGCAATCGTACAACTTAAAACTGTGGCTCTGCCTACTGACTTGCTACGTGGTGAATGGTTTCCATTGATGCTGATCAATATTTAATCTCGTGCTGTCTTTACCTGTACCTTTTTTTTAATAAGGTCAGTATGTGTTGCGTGCCAGTCTCCAGTAAGATCACTTTGTAAATGAAATTACTTTCAAACTGTCTCTTAATCTATCCTTATAGTACTGCCCACAAACAGATATTGTGCATATATATATGTGTGTATATATTAAAAATACGTGACTTTGCAGCAGAAGATACCCGTTTTGACTCTCAACTGTGCAGATATCTTTGTTTCTGGTCCTGTTTTTTAGCTGCAGGATTATGTATGTTGTGTGACTCATTGCTGTTCTGTCTGCAGTTTGCTCCTGCTTGATGCGTTATGCTGTACTTGTTCTGCTTTGTAATAAAGTGTTGTTTACAAGGCAGCTTTATTGGTGTGTATGTAGAGAAATACCTTCTACTGCACCTGACTCCTCTGCTGAGCCTGGTTGGTGAGGTCTCTCTTCATTCTAAGCACCTCCTTCTGCTCCATGACAGAAGAGAAAATCTTGTAAACAGATGAGGAAAAATATGACCTTTAGACCCCACCCCCTTTCAACAAATGATTTACTTTGGATGTTTTAGTAGTATACTCCTTCAGTTATCATTAAAGGGCAACTTTCTAAACAGCTCTACTGTTAGATATAGATACGGTTTAGTGTATTTTTAAGGTCTGGAGGCAGTACTTTGTTTAAACACGTGAGACTGAAATCTTGGTTCATAGCATTACAGAGCAGCAGGAGCCAGGGGGAGCCCACAGAGCTGTGGGGAGTGTCTGTGGGTTCTGTCCTAAGGCACTGCTGCTGGGTTTTCATGCTGAAGAAACTTGCATTTCCAAACACTGAACTGTGTGCAAATGAAGTGTTAGTCCAGAAGGGCTGTCAGGAATGGGATTGCTAACTGGAATTTGAAGGATGTGTAGTAATCCTCTTTGGTCTTACACTGTTGAAATGGTGGCCTAATATAGGAGGGGGAAAGCTCTTTGCTTCTACACCTCCATTTTCTGTATGAACCAAGGACAGTCCCAGTATCAATAACGTTACTTTGAAATGTGTTGGAATCTTGCCTGAAAACATAAGATCTGATTTTTATGATCAGAAAGATCTACATAGCACCTTCAGAAACACAGTTTTGTGACCTCGCTTACTTGCAGGGAGACAAAAAATATGGTGAAAGAGAGGAAAAAACCCAGCTATACAGTGCTGGGCCTTGACAGCTTAAAAATAACCAGCTGAAATAGACGTTGAGTTTTAGATTGAGAAACTGTTAGTTTAAAATTGCCACTCCGTGTAACTCAAAGCAGATGTTGATATTAGAGCGAGCTGTTTCTGCCAAAGCAGGATTCAGTGTCCAAAAAGACAAAACAACACTGAAGAATATTCAGTGGGATGATGGCATATGAAACCAAGGGGACAGAGCGGTGTGAGCACCTGGCCGCTGAGGCTGTGCTCGTTCCATCTGAGCGCTGCCTGTTCCGCTCAGAGCTCCACACTGTGCTCCCTGCCTCTCCCCACAGGGGCTCAGTTAAAAACTCACACGCTGAGAGAGGCACAATTCTTCCTTCACATCTATATGAAACACCAGATGTGCGTACATAAGTGGAAAGGTATGTGGGTGGGATCACGGGCTTATACATGTAATGAAATGATGAAAATGTGGGCCTGAGTAACTTTCCTGTCGCCTGCTCCTGCAGCAAGGCCAAACCTTTAGTGCTTTTGGGGCAGAAGGGGGTCTTGACTCCTCTTATGCCTAGGCTGCAGTTGGATCACACATTACTTGGCCTCTCTCTCTGCTTTCCTTTCTGTCAGACCAGCATGGTGGGTGCAGTTAAGTACCACAGACCAGGTGGCCCATCCTCCTGTCAGCAGAGTGCTTGTGGGCTGGGCACAGCTCTGCCAGGCCCTGGGCTGACAGAGCAGCATTCCCACTGGGGCTGAGCTGCTTGGGGCAGCATCACAATTAGCTGCAGGTCCTCATCCTCCTGCCTGTGCTGGTTAACAGCGCTGTTTCAGATGTGAAGGTCAGCTTCCGTTAAGCTGTGGGAGTCATTTTTTCCAGCTATTAAGAGTGAGACATGTTTCACACCATACAGGTATGTCCGAGCAGACGAGAACTCAGATCTTAGCACATAAGAATGTTTTAATAGCTTTTAGTAGGAGTCTTCACTAATAATCTTGTTACCTTTGCATCTCCTTTATGCTATTATGTCCAGTGTAATTACTGAATATTGAGCAACAAGGTTCCTCCCTTCTCAGACCTTCTTTCTCCCAGCTTTAAGACTTTTCAGCTCTTTCTAAGGCTAAGGCTGAGTAGGACCACCAGTATGGTGCTTTGCTTTTGCCACAGTTCACTTGGTGTCTCTGGCTCGTTGAGCGTGTTGGTTTGACCCAAGTTTCTGTGCACTGCCTGCTGCCAGACCTCAGCTGCATGCGTGCCCAGGGAGGTGAAGGACATGGGGATTTTGCTTTGCATTCAGCTTTAACCTTCTGTTGGCTGTGACAGCGATGAGACCAACCCTAAGCAGCAGACTGTATAAAAATAATTGCCCTGAACGGCTCCAGTAACCTGTCAAATGTAGGTGCAAATGTTTATGTTGTGAGAGGCAGCATGAAAGTTCTGTAGCCAGAAGCTGAGGACAGGGATTTGTGAAGGTGCAGAGATTGTAGGAGAAAGAGGAGAGGGAGATTATTCAAGAAGGTTTCAAACGCTTCTTCCTGTTCACTCTCCCCAGCCTCAAGCAGAGTTAAGAAATGAGTAGTTTTAAATACTGTCCAGCCTCCATAGCAGCTTGGTTCTGTCTTCTCTCTTTCACAGCTAAAAAAAAAATGTATACATTTCTATATGGAAAAAACCTTTAGCTGGTTGAAGAACAAACTGCGATTATCCTGGTAAAAGTGCAGTTGAACTGGGTAATGGTAATTAAGCTTGGCAAAGCTGCTTTTTTTCTACACAGCTGCCAACCCCTTTTTTTTTTTTTTCTTTTTTTTTTTTTTCCTAGTACTCACTAGTTCTTTCACCAAACTAAATAGCACATTGACCCTGGAGTGAGCAGGAGCCCTGTGCTGTGAGTGGGCAGCTCCTGATGCAGGATGAGCTGCTGGGGAGCAGAGGTTGGGGCAGTGCCTTGGTGTGAAGTGGGGTCAGCTTGGGACACAGGATGGCATCTTTCTGGTGTTTGTCATGCTACAGGAAAAGGTGTAAGTTTAGGAAAAGTTTAAGTTCAAGAAAATGAAGCAGTACCTTGTTAAACGCGTCTTAGCAAAGGTGAAAATCTCACTTTCTCTGACATTTGTTTCAACATTGCCAGAGATGAGGAAGTCCTGGATTCTTGTCTGTGTGTTGTTGTTTGCTTGTTTGTTTGTTTTTCTGCGTTCTCATATTTATAACCTCTTGTCAGACATCTAAAGGGAATTTATAAACATGAGGGAAATCAGCTTTTTACATGGGTAGATAGTGATAGGGCAAGGGGGAATGGAGGGGGGATTTAGATTCGGTATCAGGAGGAAGTTGTTTTTATTGTGTGGAGTGGTGCCGGCAAACATTGCCCACAGAGGCTGTGGATGCCCCATCCCTGGAGGTGTTTAAGGCTGGGTTGGATGAGGCCATGGGCAGTCTGATCTGGTACGTACTTAGTGGCTGGCAGCCCTGTCTGTGGCAGGGGGTGGGAACTTGGTGCTCCTAGAAGTCCCTTCTAACCCAACCCATTCTATGATTTGATGATCTAGGTCTGTTCTTTGTTTAGATTCTGCACAAATGTTAGCTTGGTATACAGGCCTTCAATAAGATTTAAAAGCGTTTATTTGAAAGTGAGAGTTTAGGAACTGCTAATAGAATCACATAAGTGATCCAGCAGTACTGTCAGTGTGTTCAGAAAGCGCTCTGCCTGCCCAGCTTCACAGCTCAGTCTTTTGTTTCGGCAGAGCTCTGGTGAATACTCCAAGTTCTCCCTTCTGTGCTGATCTGTTATTCTGCTGTCCTCTGTGCAACTCCTGGGGGTTGATCCCAAATCTTGAATTTCCAGTTCTCAACTCGCTGGGAGTGAGACTTAGTCTGGTGTAACTGGGAATGGTAAGCTCTTGTCAGGGTTGATTTTTCTTAGAGAAAAGCAATGATGCCATAGAGTGAGTCCCTGTTTAGTTGAATGCTTGATTAATAGCAGGCTTTTGGCTTCCAAATTGAAAATTTGGTACTTTGACGCTGACATGAGTTCTGGCAAGGTTTTTTGCTGTTGAGGCAGGGCAGTATGGTCTTAGAGCAAAAACCACGGCCCTTGCAAACATATAGGCCTGAATAAATTTGTTAATGTTCTTCTGAGTTGGTTTGCCAGTGTAGCAACTTTTTTTTTTTCTTTTTTTTCCCCCAAAATTGTTTCCTTGACTTTTTTCTTTTCCACTGAAAAATGCCCAACTCCCCCCCAAACCCTAACGTCTGTATTGGACACCTTGGTATGTTCATGGCTTTGCTGGGAGATAAACCTCCTGAAGAGGCTTCATGCTAACTGACTCATTCCCTCCTTTGCTTTCCGTCTGAGAGTTGCCAACACCTCCCACACTTTGCAAATTCTAATCTGATCTTGATTCTATATCTCGATTAGTTGCTAAATTAAAATCTCCTTTAAGAAGACAGGAATTGTGTTATCAATAGTTGAAATATATCAGAATCTGCAAGCACATTGTACGCTTTGTTGTACTGATCGTTTTAATGCACAAATATTTGGGTTGTTTTGTGGTGATTTTTAATGAGATTTCACTAAGATTTTCATCACTGCTTCAATTAGAAATAAAATTTCCTGAAAACAGAACGACAAGAATCCAGTCAAAACCAATTCAGCTGTCTCCGATGGCTGAACATCATGGAGGACAAATATTGGGCCATCACCAGTTAGCCAGTTTTGGAGGGGGACGCCTTCCTTGGTTCCTGCACTTTCCTGTATTCCTCCAAGCTCAGCTGAATTCGTGTTTCTAAATGTCTTCGTCTCCCCAGGAAATTCCATCCCAACCCAGAGTTAACTGTCCTTGAAACACGGCAGACGGAATTTGTGGTTACAGGGTCTTGGGACTTTTATCCGTCCCTCCAGCAACCACTTGTAGAAGTGTCGGAGAACTCTTGCTCTGCTGTAGACAACACTTTAATGCACCTTTCTTGCTTGAAGTCTTTAGCCCAATTTTTCTGTATGAGTTGCTGCTTTCTGAGAAAACAGTTCATTAGGCTGGTGAGTCTCCTGCCTGCACGTGGGAAGGGTCGTTTCATGTTTGAGCTGAGGCACTTGCAGTGTATCGCAGTTTCGCACTGCTGTGTCAAAATGCCTGCTTGTGCTGGGTTCTGAGTGTCAAACAAATGAGGAGGCGCTTGCAGGAAGTTTTTGGTGAATACATTCTCGGTTCCCCCCACTTCCTTTCCCCTGCCTTGGCTGTAAATTCAAACTGCTGTTAGATTTTTCTCATAACACTGCTGATTTTTCCTTATTTAATCTTTATGAATTTTAAGTTTGGTGGTATTGATTTTTCTCATTGCACATTCTCTGAATTTCTGGCAGAAGTCCTGGAGGGGATTTGGGAGCAAAGAAGAAGAAGAAGAAACAGAAGAGAAAAAAGGAGAAGCCAAATTCTGGAGGCACCAAATCAGATTCTGCATCTGACTCTCAAGAGATTAAAATTCAGCAGCCTTCAAAAGTGAGAGCCTTGTCCTGTTTCAGTTTGTGTGTGCTTTCTGTTTCAATTTTTTAATCTGTGTGTTGATTTTTGTAAAAGAGAGTTGGTGTTACTGCCTTAATGCACCTGAATTAAGGCAACTCTCTTCAGAAGGGAGGTAAGTCTTGATGTTGGCCGACTGCATGAAGTTAGCCAGAGTTGTAACCACAGTGTTGTTTCACAGCAGTCAGAATTCAGGCTTTGTAGCAGAGAGCCTTAATCTGCACTGGTAATGATTTAAGAACATTTTGCATTTGAAGAGTTGCCTTTAGTTGCCACCTAACAAGGTTTAGTGCAGCTGCAGTTACATGGACAGCATACTGCTATCTCTTGCAAGCATCAGAAGGAGGAATGGACAAGTAAGCTCATGCTGACTGTATGCTTCCTGTGCTGTTCTATAGCATTTTACACTGACACATACACACAGATAGCTAAAATCCTATGCTCAGCCAGGCCAGTCCAGTCTTCAGCAAAATCAAATTGAGGTGAACGTGCTTTGTTAACCAGCCTTATTTGGGCAAAGTAGCAACATACCATCTTGCACAAAATGCAGTAATCTCTAACATGGAGATACAGACTGAAAAAACTTTTTGCCATCTGAAAGGTCTGCACTGTAAGTAAGTTTGCAAAGTTACTTGAGGGGATATGCAGCCTCTGTGGGTTTTTCTGCATACTTTTGACTACCAAGTTCAGTTAAAGTAAGTTAGTAATGTGCATTGGTGGCTTTTTATCATATCTCCAGTGAAATCTGAGCCTGAGAACTGAGGTTTATAACATGGTGATATGAAAGTTCATGGTCTACTGAGCGTGTTGATGCAGTTAGGTTTGCTTTATCAGATTAATGTGAAAGAAGTTACGCTAACTGTACCAGTAAGATTTGTCACCTATGTTGATATTTTACCAACTAATTTTTGGGAAGAAGTTGTGCTCTGGTTTGTTATCTAACAGATGGATTTTGTGTTGTCCCTCTGGATCTCCTCTGTGTCATACTCATTGCTTTGAGTGGATACATTTCCCACATGGGATGCGTATGTATTTGTGGAGTGATGTTATATAGTCTCTTGTCTCACTGCATGTTTTGATGTTGTTTTTGTATGAAGTATGTGGCATGAATTGCTCATGCAAGAAGACTGCAAGCAACAGCCAAGTAATCTTACACTCTTTCCTAGTGGGAGCGGGGTCAGTTTTAATATATAATTCATTGTTGTGGTATTGTGAGAGTTCCTAGATCCCCTGCTGACCAGATTTATTGTTGCATTAAAAGGAATCTGCTTCATTGCATCTGCAGGGCACTGGTCCTCAGCACCTTGCAGTTTTGCACACAGTTTCTGTAACACGCATTGTAGTTTGCAAACGTGGGAACTTATCCTTGTTATAGTAATGCATGTAGTGATATTTCACTAACACAACAAGTTTAGCAAGTTTGTTAGAATTATTAAAGCTTTGTTTTGTAGGCACACAAGGGATGTCTCATGCTGTACCGTAACTAAGCCGTATTACTGCCCTTACAGAGTTGCCTCTTTTCTGTTCTTGCAGATGCACCAGTGTTGGTTTGTTCCCCTTTCTGTTCATTGTTTCAGGTGTAACAACCTCATTAGTAGTCAGGTTTCTCTGTCTTGGACAGCTTCGGTGTTTCAGATTTTTTTTCAAAAGCATCTTAGACTGCTGGTTGGTCAGGGTGAAGAAATACATTTTTAAGTATTCTAGTGATACTTAGATTTTATGTTCCTTGTACTATGTGAAGGATGAAAAAAGCATGCTTAGCATTTGCTTGCTGTTTGTTGAAAGAAGCTCTGCAAAATATTTCAGAGGAAAGTGATGTCTTATACTTGGTCTCTAGGAGAATATACACAAGATCCTCAGGTAATATTCAGCAGGGCTTCTGAACTCATTGACAGTTATTTTGAAAAAGAATTTTGAGATGAGCTGAGTCTGTAAACTGGTGTACCAATCAGCAGATGAGAAGAGCAGAAGAGTGAGTCTCCTCTGCTTCTCCCTCTCTCATTTGTGATGCTGGACCTCTTGAGCACTGGCATGAGTGTCATCACAGCAATAAATGTATGTTAGTTGCGTGCTTAAGAGACTTTGCAGAGTCTGTTCTCAGTATTAGCCCCAGGGATGTAGAATTCCCACACTGGCTCATGTGAACTGGCCGGATCTCTGGTACTGTCAGTGATTTGTAGTCACCAGTGACCTGCACAGCATTCAGTCATAAAATAATTTAGTTTGAAAGGGACCTCTGGAGATCTTCAGCCCTCCTACTTAGTGCAAATCCAATTAGGTGAGGTTGTTCAGGCACAGATGGGTTTGTATGGACTCCAAGGATGGAGATTCTACAGCCTTTGGGAGCAGCCACTTCCACTGTTTGATCATCCCTGTGGTTAATATTATTATTAATAAATCCTTATATCTAAAATGGAACTTGATCTTTTTCAATTGTGTCCATCTGCAAAGGCTTGACTCTGTCTTCCTTACATCCTCCAATTAGGCAGCAATAAGATTTCCCACTCTCTTAGCCTTTGTTCAGCCGCCTTCTTGAGGGTTGCATGTCATGTGCTTCAGACCCCTCTTGGTCTTGGTGGCTCTCTATTGAATTCGCTGTGCTACATCAGTGGTTTCCCTGTAATGGGAAACCCTAAACTGTTATGGTCTCAAGGGTGGGAGATAAAGGAGAAGACTCTTGTTGGTACAACCCAGTATGCAGTTGGCTTTTTTGCTGTGAGAACAGACTGTTGGTTCACATTCAGTTCTGCCCACCAGGGCCTCCCAGGCTCTGCAAAGCTGCATCCTAGCCGGTCAGTGCTGGCCTCTGCCAATATGTGGGTTTTGCTGCATTTGCTGTAATCTTTCAAGCTTAATAGAGAATGATCTTACAATAATACCAAAACTGGAAGTACCAATACCAATACTGGAGGGGGTCCAGAGGAGGGCCACAGAGATGCTCAGAGGGCTGGAGCACCTTCCCTAGGAAGACAGGCTGGGGGAGCTGGGCTTGTTCAGCCTGGAGAAGAGAAAGCTGAGAGGAGACCTCATTGCAGCCTTCCAGCATTTCAAAAGGGATTATAAAAAAGGAGAGGAATCACCTTTTACAAGGGTAGACAGTGATAGGACAAAGAAGAATGGTTTTATGCTCAAGAAGGGAAGGTTTAAATTGGGTGTCAGGGAGAAGTTCTTCACAGAGAGAGCGGTGAGGTGCTGGAACAGACTGCCCAGAAAGGCTATGGATGCCCCATCCCTGGAGGTGTTCAAAGCCAGGTTGGATGGAGCCCTGAGCAGCCTGGTCTAGTGCCAGATCTGGGGGGTTGAAACTTGATCCTTTGGGTCCTTTCCAACCCAAGCCGTTCTATGATCCTTTTAGAATTTAGTAACTTTTTTAGATCATTTTCTCCTTAATCTACTAAAAGATTAGACTTAAAATATCTAAAACATACTGAATAAATCAGCATTGATGTATGATTACTTAATCTGCTGATAAGAGTTTAGAATTTATCTAGCAGAGTTAAAGTGTTTGTATCAGGACAGCAGGAAATTGTCAAATCGATTTTTACTTAACAAAAGCACTCTACATCACTATAACTTGGATTGGAGAATGCAGTTGGATTTTTATGCTTCAGTGGCATTGATTTAGTTTGTTGAACTACATGGAAGTGTGTAAATATGCTAGTTGACAATTATTCAGATGATGGGTGTTAAAGCGTGCTCACAGGCCAAAGTTAACCACATTTAAATTAATGAAAGAAATTGCATAACATTTAGAGAGCACATGTTTTTATTATAAGTAGAAAATGATGGCCTGCATGAGCTACAGGCCGTTGCAGAGCTACTTCTTCGGTGACTGAGGGCACTGAAGGCAGTTTCCTATCCAAATCAAGCTTGAACTTCATTATTACACGTAGATTATGGTGGTTTTTCAACACAAATCCTAGTCAGAAAATGAAATACTGAAATAGCATTGATGTTCAGCAAGAAAACATCAGGCTTCAAATCTTTATCCAGAAATATGTAACGTTTTTCAATCCATTTGAGACTGTTCCATCAGGTATATTTATTCCACTGCAAAGTCTGGGAAAACCTGAGCATAAGCATGCTGCTGGTATGCTCAACTTGTCGCTTGGGCGATGGTTCTAAAAAGAGAGAGAAGGAAGAGAGGGAGGGAAGGAGGGAGGGATAAGTTCCTTTACAGTTAGAAGTCTGTTAACATTATTCCTCTGCAATTTCATGTTCAGGTAAAACTCTCATTGTAGTTACGCTTACTCAGAATGCTCAGAAGTCAGAGTTTAGGAGCTCAGATCAGAAATGCCGAGCCTTAGGCTTTTGTTTTTCAGATAACTCTCAATAAGATTTTTCCACTTTTAAGTGGAAGATTAATTTATTTTACATCTGCTTCTGTAACATAAAGTTGTTTTATGTTATGAGTGTTGGTAGTAGTGGTAAAATGGTGAACTTCTATATGTTATGCAATGCAGTAAGCTGCCTACTACAAAATTCGGTACCTAATAGAAGGCAGGTCCAACATAACTATGGTTGTAAAGTGGGTATTTACAACAACAGCGCAACTGAAATATTGAGCCATACTGATCTTAAGTGATGTTTAATCATATATATATGAGGAATAACTTCAAATATTACTGTGTAGTGTCTTTAGATTTTTAGATATGAAAGCTGATCTGCTTTTTGCTGTTTATTCTATTTTACTATTGGGAGAGAAATAAGATTTTATTGTGGTACTGGTATCGTGGCCTAATGCTGCAGCTATATGTGGTACCAGCACTGAATTTTCACAGTCAAATGCAAAAACTACTCAAAGTTGCTAAGTGTTTTGTGAAGCTGCTTGTCTCCTTCGCACCTCTCCTTCCCTCCTCCTGCTGCTGAAGATAATACCGAAAGTGACCGTGGTAAGAAGAGCTTATGAAAGAATACAAAAGAGTAAAGCAAATGCCCGCATTTGTACAGTGTTCTAAACGAACAGCATGTCCAAAGTAATCTTCCCCTATTCTGTCTGTCTCCATGTGCAGAATCCAGCCATTCCAATGCAGAAGCTTCAAGATATCCAGAGAGCAATGGAGTTGCTCTCTGCATGCCAAGGTCCAGCAAAGAACATTGATGAGGCTACCAAACGTAAATACCAGTTTTGGGATACACAGCCTGTACCAAAACTTAGTAAGTTGAATTGGGCTTGGACGTGTGATCTTGAAAGAGTGTATACCAGTTTTTAAAGTGGGTGTTAAGTTAGACTGCATGTGAGTTCCTGAATCTTTTGTGTTGTTTATGTGGAATTATTGATATTCTCTAGGTGAGACATTGCCCTTCAAAATAATATGCAACAAAACACAGTGTTGATGATTCTCATTCTGGTGTTCTCTACAAAAATGCTACTGCAGTAATGTTCCTTTATATGTTTTAGGTCTGAACTCTTAAACAACAGAACACAAAGAGAACAAACACTTCAGGGCAAATTAAAAAATCTATCAAGTGGTGATGGGAACGAACTTTTGTTCTATTTATTTTCCCTGTTTGTTTTTTTTTGGGGGGGGGGGGAAAGGAAGGAAGGGAAGGATGGCATAGATCAATTTGCAGTCATAGTGATGGTGACTCTCCTGGTGCAGGTACAGTGTTTCCATGCAGCTTGAAGTGGTTAGTGATGCCTCCCTTGTGCCTGAACTCTTCCACTGTTCTTTGTTCATCTGTTTCTTCCACAATGTGCACTACCTTGGAAACATATTTTCTGAGTTCCTTTTGGAGAAGACAGCTGCTTACTCTTGGTTTTTGTTGTTGCTTTTTGTTTTGTTTTTCTTGACTTATTTCCTCTTCTCCTTTCACTTTTTTCAAGTCAAGCTGTTCTATCTCTTTTGCCCCAAAGAAACAGGAGCTGTCATTCTGTTCTGAAAGTTTGTCTCCATGGCATTGGTGGCTGGTATAGAATAGGCAAAAATCAGTTGAGTGTAAAGCACAGGAACACTCTTCTCCATCTGACCAAAGGGCAATGTTTCACATTAATCCAGGTCTGTAGCTCAGACTGTGTTTTCCCCGACTTCCTTGCATGGAGAAGTCCAGAGCAGAGTGCTCTCCACTCTAACGATGGTTTGTTAGGGCTGTTGAGTAGAAATACACTTTGCTGAATTAGGCTGGCAGAGGTTCTGTTCAGCGGTCTTTTTGAATTGCTTCTTGATTCTGTTGTTGAATTTTATTATCTTTTTTAGCTTAATCTGCTGAATGAATGTGATGGGAAGTCTTCATTGTTTGATACACAGGTTACATTCAGATGGAAAAAGAATCTGTTGATTCAAGAAGTAGCTGTAGGAATCTTGGCATTAAATTAACTTCAGAATCCATCTGCCTTATAATTAAGACTGTTAGCAAGAGATCCGTTATTGTATAATATTAGTTTGTCTGCTTTATAGTGAGACAGCTGATACTTCCAAAATTTATGTGAAGATGCTGGTAGTTCTGACTTTCCACATGAGACAGCGAGCCATAAGTACTTGTCAGGATTGGGCATTACTTGGGAAAAGTACGTACCATGTTTGGTAGGTGACACTCCATATGAGAGGAGCAATTTCTTTTTAAGCCTATTGCTATATTCTGATGAACTAGAGTTGTACTTTAAGGTAGGAGAAATACCCTTTCATGTAGGATTTTAAGATTTTTTAATCCTGTTCTCCCAGCATTCTTTACAAGCCCTGGCTTTGCAGTACTGCTGGTCCTTAGAAGTACTGCTGAGCTCAGACCTGTTCAAGGCAGTTGTAAACAGGATCCGTCGCTCCTTAGCCGTCAGTACGTTTCTCATGATTTAACCATGGATTTCATAGCTGGCCAAGCACCATGCGTGTGCTGTTAAACTGGTGTCCCCTATTATGAAATACTGGATGGAGTAGTTCTGTGGCTGGCTGTAGAAACTGTGATGAAGTTAGTAGTTAATCTGAATGCGGGTTATAAGAACTGAGAAGTTCTTGAGAGTTAATGGGGAAGCTAGCAGAGTAACTGTTCTTTTTTCTTCTTCTTCTCCTCCCTTGCTTTTTCCTCCTTCAAAAGACGAAGTCATAACTTCTCATGGTGCAATTGAGCCAGATAAGGACAATGTCCGCCTAGAGCCATATTCTTTGCCACAAGGTTTTATGTGGGACACATTGGATCTTAGCAATGCTGAAGTTGTAAGTAACACATTTATTATATGTACCTAAAATCACTGAAATATATTCTGCTTGATGTGTGTGGATAAGCCTTTTGTTTTTCTTTTTTTTTGTTTTCAGCTGAAGGAGTTATACACGCTGTTAAATGAGAATTATGTAGAAGATGATGACAATATGTTTAGGTTTGATTATTCCCCTGAATTTCTTTTGTGGTGAGTGGCAAGTGCTACATTCTGTTCTGGCTGGAGTGCAAAGGAAGGTGTTTTTATTACATCTTCTCAGGCAGTAATTTGTAATTATTTCTGTCATCGCTTCTAGGGCTCTGCGTCCTCCGGGCTGGTTACCGCAGTGGCACTGTGGGGTTAGAGTGTCTTCAAACAAAAAGCTGGTAGGATTCATAAGTGCCATCCCTGCAAATATTCGTATTTACGACAGGTAAAACACACCGTTACTTTCATATTTGTAAAAAATGAAATTTTTAAGTGGCAGGATACAAATCTTAAAGCTGGCATCCACTACTGTGGAGGGCTTACAAAGAGGCTCATTAAAATTTTTTTAGGGAATGGAGTTCTGCAAACAGCTTGGATGCTGCTTTGCATAACATACAGTTTTCCACTCGTGTCACGTTATCAGATTAATATTTGTTGCAGTCATAATTTGACACAGGCTGATTTATCTGTACATCAAGTTCTTCTATTACGATATGGAAAACTAATATTAAGTAATTGAGAATATGCAGCATGCTGTTTGTTTTTGTCAGTAGTATGTTTTTTTTTTTAATTTATTTTCTCTCTATAACGTCCTTTTAGTGTGAAGAAGATGGTAGAAATCAATTTTCTGTGTGTTCACAAGAAACTGAGATCTAAGCGGGTGGCACCTGTACTGATTCGGGAAATAACCAGAAGAGTAAACCTGGAGGGGATTTTTCAGGCTGTTTACACTGCTGGAGTGGTGCTCCCCAAACCTGTGGCCACTTGCAGGTAACCTAGGTGATGTTCCCAATAAGATTGGTTCCTGTAGTAGTCATTCTAAGTGCATGCTGTGTAATTGCCTACTGTGGTAATTTTGCAATGGTAGGTAGCTCTGCATTGCTATGCTGCTTTCTCACTCTCCCTTCCCAAAAAGACAGGGAGAGAAAATATGATGGAAAAAAACACATGGGTTGAAATAAAAACAGGGAGATCCCTCATCAATTACTCTCATAGACAAAACAGACTCAGCATAAGGAGATTAATATAATTATTGCCTACTGATAGCAAACTATAGCAGTTAAAACTGCAGGCCAACTACAGACTCTCCCCCATCCATTCATCCATCCTCCTCTACTTCTTCCTCCTGAGAAATGCAAGGGAACATTGAATGGGGACTGCGGTCACTTCTCTGACCTTGTTGGCTGCAGGGCTGTTCTCTCTCATTTTCCCACTCCTCTCTCCCAGTTGCTGTTCTGCAGTTTTTCTCTTCCTTAAATCTGCTCTCCCAGAGGCACAACCAATGTCACTCATGTCTCAGATGTGGCAACTGTGGGTCTGACATGGGACAGATGCTGGGCTCTGCTCCTAGACCACACCTGCAGCCCCCTCACTACCAAAACCTTGCCACGTAAACCCAATCTGGGTATATTCAATGTATATTAAAAAATCAAAGAAATTGAATGCTGCAGATTTGATTCTGACTTAAAAGCACAAGTATGTGTATGTGGTTTTCTGCTTGGTTTCTTTTTCCTTTTTTTTTTTCCCCCTTTGGAGCCTTGGATAAAATATCTTTTCAGAGTGAAATCTAATACTGAGTGTGTTTATTGTACCTTGAATAGATTAATAATGTTTCTGTTGACCTTCTGGTGAAAGCCATGCTAGCAATGGCAGCATTGTATACCTGTGTTTATCAAGTGGCCTGTTTCCCTGCTGAGATGCTTCCCTGTTGATCTGGTTGCTTGCCAAAGATGGCAGAACATTTCTGGGAATTGTGTGATCTGCTTTTATCAATGCTTTCATCTTTCGTGGAGAAAGGAATTTGATAAAAATGGGAAAACTACCACATGAAAATAGTTGTATGTTGTAAAGTATGATTTCATTTGCTTGGAGGAGATTTTATTTCTGCTGGGAAATGTTCTGTTTCAGTGGTATCCTTCTGAGGACAGAATACTCATGTATGAGCCTTTTGGTTTAAATTTTGTTCGTACATATCAACACCAGAGATTCTGTAACCTTCTGTAGGTAAGGATGGAAAAAAAGCCATTCTGTGTTAGAGTAACCAGGGACGTTCTGTTGCACTATGGTCTGCAGGGAAGAGTGCCTTCACCAAACTGCTCAGTGACTGAGTAAAGAGGACCTCTGTTTTTAAGCTTTGAAAACTAATCAATAATATAAATGTTACCTTGTAAGCATGAGAAGATTGGTGGGGATATGGCAGGTATTAGAATGTCTAACCCTGGGGTTACTCATTCCAAAGGAGATTAGATCCAAAATGTGGTGATTGCAGGCTTGTTTAACAGCTGTTGCTTAAGTGTAGCTTTCCTTTTTTGTTGATTTTTTTGTTTGTTGTTCAAACCTCCTACAGACATCAGGTCAGTAAAGGCTGGCTAGGAAATAAATTTGTAGAGGAAGAGAAGAGCAAGAAATTAGAGAAATGGATGCAGGTAAAGCTGACACTTGAAACACTATCTAATCTCATGCATTTTATCTCCAGATATTGGCATCGATCACTGAATCCCAGAAAATTGGTGGAGGTGAAATTCTCACACTTGAGTAGAAACATGACTCTACAAAGAACGATGAAGCTCTACAGACTTCCTGATGTAAGCAGTATGTCTTCTAGAGAATCCCCACAGTTATTGGGAGGCCCAAAATAACCTTCCATCTGTCTCTGACAGCTCAGGCTTTTGTGCCTGCAGAACATGGAAAAACAGAATCTTTTCTACCAAGCAGAAATAAGGGTCTATACTAAACAGAAGAGACTATTCCTAGAAGTGTAGGTTTATGTGTGGAGAAAATACAAATGTGGACTCAAAAGTTTAAAAAAACAAAACAAAAAAATTAAAAAAAACACAAGTAAATACACACAGAAACCTTGACTTCATAAACACATGGGATTGAGTTGAAGGTGCATAAGATTATTCTAGGTATAATTAATCTGATAAAAATTACTGCAGTAGAAAATTAACAGCTAACATTTTAAAATTCTTAGAAAAGTCCTCTAGAAAGTTAGTTGAGTACAGCTGGGATTGGTTGGTTCTACTCCAAGTCACAGCTGTTTCTTGATTGTCAGAGAAAGTTGTTCCTGTGCAATGAGCAGGCTCAGCAAAGGCTGCCTTGAATATTGTGTTATTTGCATGATGTGGCCAAAAAAAAAGTGTTCTGGCATAGCTAGGTTAGTTAAAAATATTTTTTCCATATTTCTGCTAATAGCTAGTCTGGCAAAAAGCCTTCACATGTATTTCCTTGACAGGAGAAGTCACTGTAAATAGTCTGAGATGAACTATTAAAAAATCTCATTGCTGTAATAACCTACAGAAACCAGCCTAAGTATATATGATTGAAAGCAATTTCTTTGCTTGTAGAAGCTACCTTTCTATTTGGAGGGATTTGCAGACTATCCTTTGGACCAGCGCCATATCAAGTAAACCTTTTTGATGTAAACAAACCCTCCTTTTAGGCTTAAAGAAAAAAAAAAGTACTTTTTTGTACTTACAATGTACTTTGTAATGATTTATCTGCCTTTGGAGAATTGTTTGTTTATATTTAGCTTGATGCTGCAGGCTCTGTTGTTACTGGCCCCTGTGAGTAATACACTAAGCACTCCTCAGTATGAAGCACGTGCCATGGCTTGATCTCAACTCCTGCTGCTGTCAGTGGGACTCATTTCCTGTGTTGCCCACGTGCTACCTATGCCTGCACGTGTGGGTTCTCCCTTGTGTGCAGGGCAGCAGTTTTCAGAGCTTACGAATTAATAACTGTATTAATTAGGTTTTAATCTTGGAGAACTAAATATAGCTTTCATCAAATCTGAAGATGTTTTTAAAAGTCTAAAAAGTCCCATAGACAATTTCAAATATAGGTTTCAGTAGCAACATCAGTACTGTTTCTCATGGAAACAATACAGGGTAAGAATAGCTTAAAGAATAAGATAAGGATCGTACAAAGGTCAGCCATAATCCAAGGGCTTAGGACTCCTTATACCTCAGTTGCTTGTTTACTTTTATATAGAACTTGGGAGATTCTTCTATGGAAAATAAAGATGCATCTTTTTCATAGAATCACAGAATGAGTTGGAAGGAACCTTAAAGTTCCAGCCCCCCTGCTGTGGGCAGACTTGACAACCAGTAAATCAGGCACTAGGTCAGGTTGCCGGGGCCCTATCCAACCTAGCTTTGACATTTTTGTTAATGTTTATTGCTTAGTTTTTGTGCTTTGGGTTCTGCAGTTTCTTTTCCTGTGGAAAGGTCTAAATGCTTTTGCAAATCTGTATTTTCAATCTAAGGCTGTTATTATAAACAGTTATGTCAGACAAATTGGTTCATTCTGGACAAACTGTCCTAAAATAAAAGCTTTCTGAATTCCTAACCACCACTTTAATGTCCCTCAGCACCAGTGTTTCTTGCATTCTAACCTCTTTTCCTAGAGTCCTTGAAATATCATTGCCACTGGGAGCTTATCTCCCTTTAATAGGAATTAGTCAATCCTAATCACAAAAAGTGTGAACTGGAAAGGTTTTCTGAAATAATAGAGGAAATACAGTAATTTCATCATTGAAGCATCACCCTAATTGAAGACTGTTTGTGCATAAACCTACAGGTAGATTAAAAAAGTAGGTGGAGGTGGTATTCAGTCTATTAAGCAAGGAGTTTTCTGAACGGGAGAAAATTTGGCTGTGTTTTGAATAAGGACAGGAGTGTGTTTGTATATCTCTTTCTGACTGAGCTCCTGAGCTAGAATACTCATGAGGGAATATGCCCAAGGCAGCTCAATGTTTGGAGCAGAGAAATACAATTTAGCCCTATTCTGAAAGTTCTTCTCCACTTCTGCAGTTGTAAATAATCACTTAAGCTGGCCATTCTAAATGCTTCTAAAGATGTTCCAGCCCAACTGCTTTTTGTCCCTTCATGCTCCAGTGTATAGCTTTAGAAGACAAAGGCTTGGGGGGGGGCAGAGATTAATCTTTCATGTTGTTGTTCATAAGGAGGTTATGAACAAAATACAGCATATAAAAGGGTAATTCTCCTTATGGATTCAGAGCACTTAAAATTCTTGCGAAGGTGATGTGCTGTCACAACACCATCTCAGGAAAGCAGTTAGACTAAACCCAATATGGGACTGTGGCAAAATTTGCCTTAATTTTTCATCTAGCTGCTGAATCCCAGAGCATGTGAATAAAAACCTCCCCCAGAATAACTCCTTTTTAAGTGGGATGTAATCAGCTGCACTAATTTCAGGCTTCCAGTAATCAAGTCACTACCTGGCTGCTCTTGCAGTTGACTTTGCTATGATTAATGTGGTACATGTCCAACTATGTGGCTGTGACAGATGAAGCAGGATAAACAAGCTCTGAAGGAGAACGAGGCTTTCTCTTCCTGAATGGAAATAGTCAAGAAAGCTAATAAAAACTGGGGAGAAAACTTTTGCTCATTTTGCTGGGGAGCCACCTTTGCTCATTTAAAAGTTAATCACATAGTACCAGAAAGCAGTTTTTCCTCTTCCAGTGTTTACATTCAAGTAAACTGCAGTATTTGTTAAAATACTGTAACTTTTTAATTTCGGAAAGCTTGAAGTTATGAGAAGCTTTCCTGGTAAATTGTGGTTGGGTATATATAGAAATTTGAGTTGGCAAAAGCAAGCTTACAAGCATTAAGAACAGGTGGAATTTTGTGTTAGAAGATTTCTAATTAAGCATTATCATTTGACTTTGGTTCATAGCTTGACTAATATTTTTAAATTTGAATCACAGAGGTTCTTATCTTCAGGTTAGCTTCTGATGTGTAAGTTGTTTCGTGTTTGATTTCTGTCCCTGGGCTCCGTGTAGTTTAGAAGAAGATAAATACTGATGGACCAGCAAAAAAGAAAAAATTGGAATTCAAATGTGTGAAGCCTGGGCTGTTGGCAGTAGCATCTCCTTCTCTGGAGAAATGAAGTTGCTTCAGTACTGGAATATTAAGATTGAAGTGCCCCAGACTGTCTCAGTAATTAGAAGAGGGGGAATTCTGATTGAAAGCAGTCTGTAAAGTAGCATAAATGAATTAGGTGGCTAGGGTAAAGTAGGCTAATAATGAATGCATTAGAGCAAGTGGAATGATTGTGCAGCCTATTTCCAGACCTTGCTGTGTATGCAGTTTTCCTTTCAACATCTTAACATTTATTTTTCTTTCTTACATAAGGCTACAAAAACTTCAGGTTTGAGACCAATGGAACAAAAAGATACTAAAGCAGTACAAGAATTAATCAACACTTACTTGAAGCAGTTTAATCTTGCTCCTGTGATGGATGAAGAAGAGGTGGCCCATTGGTTCCTGCCTCGGGAACATATTATTGACACTTTTGTTGTAGAGGTAAAACAATCCCTAACTACCTCAAGAACGTGCATGTGAATGCTGCTTGTGAAAAATTATTATCAGCATCGAGTTTTTTGAAATGCATTTGAGATCTGATCTCATGACTCCACATTTTATTCTTCATATTGCATTCTTATGGTTAGGAAATGCTTGTTTGAATGTCATAAACTGCATTGCTCTTACAATTTTTTAAAGAAGAGTTTTGAAATCTTAAAATATCATTTGAGAGTTTTGGAAGTTTTATGTCAAAGAACCTTACACATCTTCAAAAACAACCTTCCCACATTCTGTGTGCCTCCCTGATCCCTGTTACTTCTCTAGAGAAGTGACAGTAATTGTCCAATACTAAGTAATGGTCTTCAAATCTGCTTTTCTAGAAAAATGATTCAATGACTGATAAAAGGATTTGGTTTGAATTTGGTTTTGTTCTCACGAGTGTTGGATGTGTTTCTGCAATGTGCCAGTTCAACATTTTTACTTCATTAAAACCAATTTTTAGCAACACCTGCTATGTGGGAATTGTATGCATTTTTTTTTATAGTCTGCTTCAGTAAAATATATATATTTTTTAAAGAATGTCTGTATGAATATTTATGATTTTGCGTGTGTGTGTGTGTTGGTGCTGTGGTGAATTGCTGTCAGCTAGGAGTTCAGTTCTCTTCGGTTCCTAAATGATTATCTGCTGCTTCCTCCCCTCAGCCTGAATTGTTGTGACAACACCTGTGAATAAGCAGTACAGGAGTGGGGTAGTGTCTGGATTGGAAATCCTCAAGGAGTGGTTGGAGGTAGCTGCAATTAAGCTAGTGGAGGAAGATGCACTTTTCCCCTTGGCTCCATGCTGTATCAGGTGCAGGCATCGTTTTCAGGGAGTGAAGTGCTTTGTTTGAAGTGATGAGGTTATTTCAAATGATCAGCAATGAAATTATTAAATTTAGGACATCTTAACAGAAGCTTTAAGTAGCGGTTGTCAGCATTTCCACACTGCAGTGTGAATTCATTCTGGAGTCTCAGCTGAATTTAGAAACTTAGTGCAGCTGGAGATAAGAGGTGCTGCTCATCAGTCATGCTTGTCCAGAGTTACTTTTCTTCTTACTGTGCAGTGGATCTAGTGCTCAGTGGACTTCTCCATGGTCTGGTTTGATTTATTGCTCCTCTTCCATTCTCTTCACCACCCTTTCATCTTCTGGGTTAATTTTTTAATCTGTGTTGGTGAATTCAAGTCCAGAACTAAAAGAAGGCAAAGGAGACACACAGTTCTGGTGCTTGTGGACTCTTATCTTCATGGAGGAATCATGAAACGTGATCAGAGTGGGAACAGTGAAAGTCTGAGTGGCGTTCTTTGTGCTGAGCATGTCAGTTATAACCCACGTGTTATTTCCTATTGCATGCACTCTTGAAAATAGTTAAACTTCATTATGTTCATTAAATATTAGGCAAGTTTCTGTAGGATATTTTGGATTATTGTCTGGTTACCTTTTTTTAATGACTACTAGTTTTATTAGAATTTCAGTGTAATTTAGCACTGTTGTCTAGCAACAATTGGATTGGACTTGTTGATTAAAAATCTTGAGAGCTGATCTGAATATGCTTTGTATACATGCAGAGTAATTATTTTCTATTTTTAGAAAGTTGAGAAAATGGTTCCTCCATGTGAACCTCATCAGGTTAAAAAAAATCATAAGAAAAATATGTTCAGTTGGGAGAACTTTTCTATATGTATATTTTTGGGAGGAAAGTATGTTTTGTTATCTTTGTTTATAGAAAGACAAGCTTGGGAAACAAATGCTTTGACCGTTGGTTGTCAAAATGTTATTGGTGTAAGAGAGCAGAAGAATCTAAATATTTGTGTCCTTTTCTGAAGTGACCATTTCTGACTGCAGTCTCACTTTGATGTATCAGTACATCCTTGTCAATGATTCCGTTTCTTCCATTCTTCAGCCAATCCTGTCTCTCACGGAATGTATGATGTATAAAATTGTGCTGCGTTGTACACTCAGTAACTGAGTGGTTATTTATTAATTGAGTATTTTTGTTTGTTTGTTTTGTTTGTATTTTTTAGGGCTCAAATGGTGTTTTAACAGACTTCCTGAGTTTCTACACATTACCTTCAACAGTGATGCACCATCCTGTTCATAAAAGCCTGAAAGCTGCCTATTCCTTTTACAATATTCATACAGAGACCCCCCTCTTGGATTTAATGAATGATGCACTCATAATAGCTAAGTTGGTAAGTATTTTTCCTTCTGCTATTTTCATGAAAATATTCTCAGGAGTAATGGCAAGGTAAAAACTGTCAGTAATTTATGTTTTCCATTGCATTCTGTTCTCTTTTAATATCCACAGCTCACAGTGCATGTGATGAGACTAGTAGACGTTGAAATATAAAACACTGTGTTTGCTTTTCCTTTTTACTTTGAGTAATGTTAGCAAGTGACAAGTGCATGAAGATCAGAGCATTTGCAATAGCTTTAACTATGTAAGGATCCAAGAGCACACCGGTGGCCATATTCATTCAGTACCAGAAGAATGAAAAGTATCACTAAAATCTTTTCCCTTGGAAGAGTTAACAAGTTCTAATAAATGCATTAAATGAAGTGTTTTTTTCATTTCTACAAAATTAAAAAGTCTGTGCTCCAACTTTTATCTTGTTAAGAACTGCTGCCTGTAAAGTTACATAGATGATGTCATGTAATTCTTAAGCACTGTTTTGTACGTGGAATAACTGGTGCATGATTTAGTTAAATGAAAGGGAAGAGACTAGAAGAGCTTCTAGACATAGGAATCATAAGGGTTTAGTGCTGTCTGATTAAACCTTTAATCATCAGGGTTCCACAGCAGTATGGCACAAACACCATGGTGCTGTAGTCTGTGGACAGAGCTGTGCAGGTCCCAGCACTCTGAGTGGATTCTCAGAGACCTATGTAGGCTGGCAGTTAACAGCACTGCACGTCCAGTCCATGGTATCCATTGCAGCAGCAGTTCCCAGCGCAGTGCAGAGCACAGCATGTGTTGTACTCCTCCTGCTGGAAGCTTGCCTCTGCCAGCTGAGGTACTGCGATGTTACACCTAGCAGATGACTGCTCAATGCAGGGAGATGTTGTGTTCTGTCTGACCCTGTTCAGAGCCACTGCCTGTCTGTGCTCCAGATGAAGCATAGGAATTTCTGCACCGATCCTTTATAAAGCCTGTGGACTGTGAAAGCTGTATCTGTTCAGACTTCAGGCAGCATGAAAGCAGCTCCATAGTCTTCATCTTCTGTCTCTCAGCCATGCAGCACTGCAGCTGAGCTAATGTGTATGACATGAACTGCTTGCTGAGGCTTGTTTGAGCTATAAACAGTATTGAGTCAGGTAACTATTTGGCAAAGAGATCTCTTGGGTACTCACAGGCAATACAGAACCCCATTGCTCAGGCTCCACTGTAATACCAAAGGAATTTTAAAGACAGGCTTTCAAAGGTATTGAAAAATATGAAGATACAGGTGTTAGTATAGTTTTCAGAAGTGCCTAAACATACTACCTATTTCTGAAAGTCAAGTGAAAGATAAAAAGGTTGGTCTCCAAATGTAATGTAGCATGGGGAGTTGAGTGGCTGGCCATACAGCAGGCCACTGAATGGGTCACAAACCACAGAATGGTCTAACCACAAGGCTATGCTACCTTCCCACATCTATGTTTTTCTTAGAATGTGTTGCATGATGCTTTTCTGTAGATGGGTCATCATGCAGTGAAAATACTGAGATTAAATTGCCTGTGGATTTCCAAAGTACCTGTTTGGTCTGTCTGCAGTCATTAAGTGCCTGAGTACATTTGCAGGTCTGGCACTGGGACTTTCAGATGAGGAGAAGAGAGGCAGGACAAGAGAAATGTTAGGTGCACTCCTAACCACAGCTTTTTGTTTACATGTACCTCACATCACTACCTTTGTATCAGGTCTGGTTAGGATGGAGTTTCCTTTCATCATGGCAGCCCATATGGAGCTGTGCTTGTATTTGCAGCCAAAGCAGTGTTGATAACACACCAGTGTCTTGGTTATTGCTAACTACCCTCTTAGAGATAATCTTCAAGCAAAGCTGTGCATTACTTTCCACTGGGAAAATTTGTGTGTGCGTCTAATTAAAAAGAAAGATTTATTCCCATATCTTTTTTTTCCCAACTTAATTTGATTAGCCTCTTGGATATTGTTGTGTTAACTATGAAAACTCTCATTTCTGTGTCACTTGAAGCATTAAAACTTTTTAAATGTTTTGCTATTGCCAGAAAGGATTTGATGTGTTCAATGCACTAGACTTAATGGAAAACAAAACGTTCCTGGAAAAACTCAAGTTTGGGATTGGAGATGGAAATTTGCAGTATTATTTATACAACTGGAGGTGTCCTGGCATGGAATCTGAAAAGGTAAGGGATTTAAAAAAGAGCTTCTGAATTCTGCTAGGTATAGTAATATTTTAATCTACTGGCCAAAATGAGAAGAGTTTTAAAATAGCTGTTTTAATCGGGGACACTTAAGATCCATAATTCCAGTGCAGAAAACTAAGAATACCTAGATTTATTGCTGTACATAAACTAAAATGCCACGTTTCTATTCTTCCTGTAGGTTGGTCTTGTATTACAATGAGGACACACGTTTCTAGAACTCTGAGGTCATCATTTGAATTAATTTGATCTCCATAACTCTTGGAATGATACTGTTCAAGAGGAGTTAAAGCACAACGTCAGTGATACTGAAATAGTCCATTAAACCTGAACGATGAAGAAATCCACATGTGACCAAATTTATGCATTTTCAGATAAATCAGAAGGTCCTTGAAACTTTTATTGTCCATGAAAAGAATAAAAGCACATTCATTTAAGTTTCAAAGCTTAGCTTGCACCTTGATGAGAAGAAGGTATTTTTTTTTCCACTCTGTAGAAAAGACTGTTTTGTATAAACTGAACTTCAGTGGTGGATTAGGGTACAAAAATATTTGCTATTATGTGGATGAACTGCTGCATTTCTATTTATTAAGTGGTGGTGTATGTTTGTCAGTGTAACAGAATGAAGGATACAAACTCGAGTATCTTTGCTATATTTACTTCACGTGGATATCATCATTTGGGGAAAAATCATGAAGTATGATACGTTTGTAGCTCTATGAAAGTCCTGGATGTTTTTTGTAACTGGAGCAGTATGACAATGTACTGGTTTAACTAGTGCATTTGTTTCTCCATGAGCAACGCTGCCAAATCAATAAAAATACAGATTTGTATTTTGATCTTCAATAGATCAGTGGATTGATTTAACAGTATCGCACTGTTCAGTGCAGGTGTTACCTATGTTGCCGGAATGATAATACGTTACTGTACTTAATTTACAGTTGTGGCACAAAACCTTAGTTTTTCCTCAGTAGAGTAACATCAGCCTGTGTGTAAAACTAAGAATTTTAGTAGTGCTATCAGGATATTTATAGTTTGAATGTTTTCAATGCTTCTGCAAAATTGCACATATTCCTTTGTCTACTTTGATTTCCTATGAGGTCTGTAATTCTAATGAAAAGTATCTCGTGTAAATACGTATTCATAAATTGTTCCTGGTAGTGTTTTTATCCTGACTGTGGAACAAGAAGTTTTGCTTTCTATGTGGCTGGTAAGCAGAAGAGAAAAGCTCTCAGTCCTTGGAAGCCTTTGTACTCTGCTTCCTGAAATGTAAGAGGGCTGATGTTTGTTGTTGGGTAAGCTGTTGTAACTCCCTCTCCAATGCTCGGCAACCAGAATGGCTTCTGAAGCACTTTATATGCATTCCAGCATAGCATTGTAGTTAGATTTGATAGCAGTCCTTTCCGTTCATGGATGCTGCAGTAACGTGAGCACCAAGAAATTCTGCAGTAAGAAGCTGTTCTAGCTGAAAGTGCCAAACTGTGGTAGTGAAGCCTCTGTGCTGTGAGCATATTTTGAATGTGACTCAAATATCTCATGAAATGCAAATGTCTGAACTTTCCTTTTAAACATGCCTGTAATTCTTACAGCAAGTTCTGCTGAAAGATGAATTCTGTACCTGAAAACATCAATTTAGATGAAGATAATTTTGTCTGTTCTTCATAACTGCTAGCCCTAGCCACCTCCAAATAGCAGTGGGGATTTCCCTCTCCCTTCCATTTTCCCTGCGTGAATGTTTTGTGATTTGGATTCTTCTTATTGTTGAACAGTGAGAAAATTCTGCCCTGGAAACAGGGATGGTTTCCCTTCCTGTGTTACAGCTCTATGCTTAAAGCCTTTGCTTCCTTCACATAAAAGAAGGGATTGATGGTGGTTTGTCTGCTCCCTTTGTGCTCATCAGCTCGGGCCTGGTGAATACAAGGGCTCGGAAGGGGATTTTTGGGACTTGCAGCAGTGGAGTCAGGCTTTGCAACTTTGGCCCTTCTTCTACCTGTCTGCTAATAGTCACAGGAGACTATATAGGTGAAGTTTTGACTCCCTATGTGCAGCTTGAGCAGAATTAAGTGCCTGAAATAATTGTTGGTATAGATAACTGATCCCAATTTCATCATACTTGAGTTCTTTACTCCCAGAAGGTGAGCAGCATGCTGGGATGTGCAGGAAGCAGACAGCAGGATGTGGTGTTCCTGCCTCATGCTAAGGGCAGGTTCTCCCTGCTCCCCCCTCCCCCGCTCAGTGTGGCCCTGTGCCCTGGTGAGGAACAGCCATAGCCTGGCAGGCTATAATGCTCCAGATGCACTCATTTTACAAGTGGAAGAAATGGTAGATGATTGTTTTTCTTTACTCCTCTCTTCCCTGAAATCAAGAGGCAAATGCCCACAGTCCTATTGTTTGGAAAAGTTGTTAGGCTGTGGTGGGACCAAGTATGCGTAGGCCCAAGACAGAACTGAATCTGGTTTTCTGGCAGCCTGGCTTTCTGCCTTCATCTCAGGCTCACTGCCTGTGATGGAAGGTGTCCGAGGGGTGCAGATTTGTCGTCTTCTGGCTCCAGCTGCATGCGGACTATGGGAGAGGAGGTGGAGCCATGCTCCTGCTGAAGCTTTGCAGTGCTGTAACTATGACTGAAAAACTGCAGGCCTAGAGAGGATGAGGAAAGGGGGCAGCAGAGCTGAAGCTGGTGCAGTTCCTGCAGAACTCTTCACACAAGCATTGCTTAACGGCTGTTTAACCCAAAAAGGTCTGTCCCTGCCAAGTGCTCAACCCTTATGGCTAGCCATGCTCCTTACCTCAAGTGCTTTGCTGAAGTATCACAGCTTCAAAAGAATGAGAGTCTCAAAGGTGTCCTGGCAGTTACTCAGGAGTAGAAATTGAGGCAACCCACCTTCACTTCCTGAGCAGGGAGTTGGTGTGGGTGCTGCTGTCAGCTCTGACAGAGGCTCTTGTGTTGTTTCAGGTGTTGAACCTGCATGTGCATTAGGCTTGATAGGAATGACTACCAGATAGAACTGCAAAAACTAACAGGTGGTTTCATAAAAATTAAATTTGAAGGCATTGGAAAGGCTCACTCTACCGCATTTCCTACACGTCTTTAGAAACATCTGCAAATAAGTAACTCTGCATCTGTGGAGGGGACCCAAATCCTTTGGGAGAGCTGTAGATCTGGACAGGAAGCAAGGTGCTTGATAAGTGATTGCTGTGCTTATGTTCTTTACCAAAGCCTAATCCTCAGTCTTTACAGAAAGCATAAGAGCTAAATGTTACCGTTAGCCAGCATGGGATTTAATTACACTAGGTTCTAGCATGCCTTCACAATTTTATGCATCTAAAAAGCCAAAGTAAATGACCTCTGTGAAGGACTATGAAGCAAGGCAAAATTATTATTTCCTTGCCACTCAGCAAGGAAGGGCAAAATTTTGGCATTAAATGTCTGCTTTGTTTACAAGAAGCATCATGACAATAGAATCACTGCTCCTGCCTCCCTTCGTAGTTGGAACCATGAATTTGTCACTTCTCAATAAATCCAAAACACTGATTAACTAGCTGATAGCACCAGAAGACTGAGCAGAGCCCTGAAAAATACAGTGCAAATTCCATGTTTGAGGAACAGCAAAGTAACTCAGCTCTTTTACAGTACCACAGAATTGACTATTAGTTACAGAGTGACATATAAATTCCTGCGCTATCCATTTTGATTGCAGTTTGAATTGCAGCACTATTTATTTCCTTCCTACAAAACAGTTTCATTAAGAAACTGTTCACAGTCATCAGTAAAACTAAAGGAAACTCTAAAGATTTGTAGTCTGTTCTAGTGACTATAGCTGTCATCTGCTTCTTTACATTCAATGGTACATGGCATATCTGGACTTCCTGGATGATAATTTTAGACTCCATTTAGAAACTGAGCATAGATTAGTTTGTTTTCTCATGGGATATGTGCGTTAATAGTTTGCATATAGAAGTTTGTTTTTCAAAAATGCAGCAGTATTTTGTTCTGTGTATGAAAACAGTACTTTTCCTTCAGCATATCGGGCACCAGGTAGTGTTGGAGTCCAAACCTGCATACATCCCTGACCAAAACAAGCTTATTGTTCAGCAGAGAAAAGAACAAAAGCTCAGAAAGGAAGTCTGCCTGTGCTGTTACAGCTGTTTACTTGAAACAAGCATTGAACCAGCTTTAAAAGTTATACTGGCATGGACCTTGTTTAAATAAACTTTCAATTTTGGTATTGATTTTTTTTTTTTAATGCATAATGGCATTAATTTGAATCAGTTCTCTCTGAAGCATGTTCATGTAAAGGAAAAAACAACAAAGTTTATTTAGCACTTTATATTAATTCTAAAGATGTGTTTGTTATCCTCAAATTACTTCAAGACATTCATTAACAGTTTCAACTTTGTGATCTGCAACTGCAAATCAAATGTTTATCTCCACACAGAAGCTCACACAGAAGTTTGAGCCATATTCTTTATTAAAGCAGAAAGAATCTCACCTGGATGCATCATACATGAGTTAACCCTGAGTTCCAACTGCTTTACACTGTTAAAGCTTAACAAAGTAGTTCAGTTACAGCTGACTCCATAGGCAGTAAAAAAAACTACTGTAATCTGAAGAACTGAACTAAAATCAGTTATGCTGAGAAAGCTTTTTTCTTTCTGCAAGGTGGCTTCTTTATCTTATTTGGATTTGGAACAACTTTCTTGATTTTCAAAGGCTGCAAAATTACACGTGAAAGATCGAGCTGATTGCTTTCTGTACGCTTCCGCTTCTGGCTTGTGAGCTCCTCCTCCGGCGTCTCTGCAAGCTGCTCAGCTTCATCAATTTCTGACAACTCTGCACATGCTGCAGATCCTACAGTTTGGTACTGAAACCACGGCACTTCCAAAGCAGGTATCTTTGGAATTATTGCTTCTACTACATCAGTAAATTTATCAGACTGCCTTTTGAAGCCTAGTGCTAAAATGGATGTTAAGCCAAGAAGTGGTGCGACTGTTTCACTGAGGCGGGGAACCTGGCCTGCTGGGGTGGCTCGACTTGCGCTCAGCTGAATGAGATGGGACGTGATCATGGCAGGTTGTGCAGATTTGCACACCAGCAAGAGAAGCAGTTCATTTTTCTCCAATGCTTTTGTAACTTCATTAATTCCAATAGCAAGCTGTCTTCTGATGCCCATGTCAGTCCATCCTGGTGCATGCCGATGGCCTTCTATTTCTTCTTTGGCACGGAGTTCATTGTTGCTAGCATCACACTTGCTTTCCGTTTGGTTTTTTGTAATGGAACATTTTTTCTTTCTTGGAGTCTCTATCTTTTTAAGTCCAATACATTTAATCTTGTCTTCTAAAGTCTGTAATATGAAATGCATACCGTCTCCATCAATGGCTTTCCACTGAATAACAAAGGGATTATCTAGACATGTTTTTACAGTGATTTTCTTTGCTTTACGAAGCGACGCCGTCCCTTGTGGAATTACAGGCGTCCTCAGGTTCTGTTCTGTTTCGCCACCTAGCTGTGGAGGGAAGGAAGAAAAAGGCAAAGAGTCGTTCTATCCTGCACTATTTGCTGTGGACTTCATTACTAGAGGCTCATCTTGGGAACACGGAAGAGACGAATCTCAGCTCAAAGTGATACTGGCAGCAATCATCTTCATATCAGCTCAGTGCTAATCCTTAATAATCCTTCAGCAAGGCACGAGTTGCTTGCTTTTTACCAGCAAGGCAACACCAGTGATTGGAAACCCTTCTGAAGCTGTATGTACGAATGAATGTAGCAGGAGGTTCCGCAGATTAGAAAAAAAAAAACAAAAAACCCCTCAAGTTCTGAAAGACTAGTTTTCACTGCTGCACAGCTGCATTTTAGAACTGTCCTGATGTGAAGGCATGCTCTGATTACCAGCCCTGCTAACTCACTAAGTCCCCAGACTCATGCTTGGGTTACTGTTCAGCATCTCCTTGCCAAACTGCTTTACTGTTGCACAGCCAACAGAACAGAACTCATCTTCCTCAGGAGAAACAGACACGGCGCTCCTCAGATTCCCTCCTTCCCTAACATACATTACTTCAGTGGCAACCTTTAGATATTTACAAGAAACCATTTTTTTGGTCATATCAATTCCCTGCATACTGATAGTAGGCTACCTTGGTTTTAAAAAAGAAAACATCTTTGTTGAAATTCCCCCCACCATATGCACTGCCACAAGGCAACGTCTGCCTGGAGGGGTTTTCCTTCAGCTAAACCACATCCACCCCGTGAGCTCAGGCAGGGCAAGCGCACCGAGCACAGATCATCAGCGCACTGCGACCTGTGAAGCTGCTACCAGAAATCTCACAGGCATCGTACACGAAGCAGCGTTACGGTGAAGAAGCCTGCGTTTGTCTTTTCAAAATGGACGCTATGAGGAAAACAAGCGTGTAGGCACGGGAATTGACGAGGCAAAAAACCAAAAACCGACTTCTTCCACGCATATCAGCTTCAGGACTCACTGCTGCCAGCAGAGGAGATGAGCAACGCGAACACTTCCAACATTTACCTCCATTCGAAAACTCCGGTTTCCAAACGCTTCGTGAAAGCCTCCCGCCAGCTCCTGACGAGAAGAAAAGAGATCGCAGTTAAGGCGCGCAGCTACACAGCGCCCTGAGAACGCGCCGTGCGGACGGGAAGGGAGGTGAACGCACCCGGTCTCCGCTCGGCGCGGCCACCACGCCGCGCTCCCACTCGGCCCAGCGCTCCCCCGCGGTCGGGCCCGACCCGACCACGCCAGCACCACGAACTCGCCCGGCCCTGAGCGCGGCCCGCCCCGCCCCGCCCCGCCCCTGCGGCGCACTCCCGCCCCATCCGCCGCCGTGCTCCAGGGCCGCCGGGTGGGGGCAGCCGCGGCGTTACGGAGGTGCTTGCGGAGCGCTGCCGCTTCGGGTTTGGTAGCCGGCATTTCTGAATTCTAACAATGCCGTCAGGTTTTTTTTGCAGGGTGCTTTTCGCGGGTAATAAATAAATAGGCGTGCCTCGTCATACGCGGGGTAATGAACTGATGGTGAGTTGGCCAGTAGGAGTTTCACGGTGACCGCGCTGCGAAGCGGGTCTCGCGCTGTAACAGCGCCGTGACGCTGGCGGCGGCGGCTGCAGAATGCTTTCGGTTGGAGGAGACCTCAAAGCCCACCCAGCCCTACGGGCAGGGCTGCCCCCCGCCGTCTCGGCTGGCCCAGGGCCCGTCCAACCCGGCCCCGAGCGCCTCCTGGAACGAGGCACCGCAGCTCCCGGCGGCCGTGCCAGCGCCTCGCCGTCCCGTGACGGCAGCAACGGCCGCGAGGGGAGGTCGCTGCCCGCTCGCCATCTCGCGCGGCCTCGAGGGGCTGACGGCAACGGCACCGCGTCGCGCTGCGGGAGAGAGGCCGGACTTCGCGTGTACTCCGCGCCATGGCCCTGCAGGTGAGCGGGAGGGACGGCGGCTCATCGGTCTTCGTGGCCGTGACCTCCCGGCACGGGAGTCTGCTTTGTGCTCAGAGCAGCGCGTTACCCGTGCGCAGCCCGCTGGGCGCTCTCCCCGGGCGCGGTGACTGCGGTGGGAGGAGACGCGCCGCTCAGGTGCGCTCGCTCTGTTAGGATGGGTTCGCTGTTAGCGGCTGGCACGGGACGGGGAAGCGCCGAGCCCACGTATGCGTGTGTGTGTGTGTGGGAAGCGTGCATTCCTAAGGGAGTTTTTAGGGTGTGCGCATCTTTGGAGTGATGCGCTTGAAGTGGCGTTTCGGTAGGAAAGCGGCTGCCTCCACGCGTCAGCGGCTGCCGAAGGAACCGAACCACCTTCGTTGCTGCCTTCCAGCGCTTTGCGGCAGGTGTCACTGCCCGCCTCGCCCGTGCCAGGACGGGTTTGGCTGCTGTTCTCTGTGGGGTTTTCCGTTCTCCCTTTCGCTTTAAGATCCTCCAGCCCTTTATCCTGCCTCAGCTCGCTCTGTGTGTGTGAGAGAGGCCCCGACGCGGGGCGCGTTGGCAGAGCTCAGCGCTGTGAGCTGCGGCTCCGAGGGGCGGCACAGAGGGCTCGTTGTTCCTTCTGAGCCCGCTCCTTCCGTGGGCCGGGGCTGCCAAGTCCCGAGCGGAACGCCAGCTTTTGTTTCATCGGCGGTCGTTGTAGTTTGCTGTGTTCTGCCTTGAATTCCGGCTAGAAGATAAACGCGTTAGCCCCGATATATAAGAATTGAGCCGTGCATCGCTGTTAGAAAGACCTTATAGATGCTTTCTACCCATTACCACTTTGGTAAACAGCTGCCACCCGCATCCCTTACAGTCACTGACTCAGTCTGTGTGGAAACGAGGGCAGCATGAGCAATGTTTTAGCAGGAGGGCTCTGAAACATCTGAGTTTTGCAAACTGAGGATGAAGAGTTCTTTCTTTGCGTGTATCAGACTGTTATCACATATAGTGATAATAATTTCTGCGTTTATTTTTAATGCATGTGTGTAAATCTAAGTCTGCATATATATATATAATCTATATGTGTACTTCTGCTTTTGATTTGAGGAGTGAGAGGGAAATTCTGTCAGCTCATGATTAAAGGATATTATATTTTACAGGCTAAGCATGTTGTGTAAGCAAGCAAATCCTAAGCAAAATCCGTGCACAAAGATTGGATTGAGGGAGATGAAGAAAAGAATGTTTGTCATTGAAATTTCATTTCCATGCACTTATTGTTGACAAAGATGTGCATTGCATATTTTTGAAACAATGGCTTGTGATATTTCATATAGATCCAAATAGAATAAAAGTATAGAAAAATAAGAAGCTAATAATGGCATCCTTATTGTGGGTTGTTTTTCTTGTTTAGTTTTTTTTTTGTCTGTACAAGTCTAATGCTTCTAGCTCATTCTTTTTGTGATGATAGTTCAGAAAACTACTCTGCATAAAGGAGGTTTCCACCAACTTAAATAGTCCTTCTATCTCTGCCCTGGCAGGGCTTTATACACAGCAGTGGTCACAGTGTAAAGATGAAGATAAAATTTATGTAATCTTCAGTCAGTTGTGGCAACTCGATTTGTGTATTGATACTGTTGCCAGTTCTTCTTTTTGCTGGTGACCAAGCACGAGTGCTGCTGTTGTTTGTACTTGTATGAGTAAAACAAAAAGGGTCAGGTATGTCGCGTCTACTGGTGTTGGGAGCAAGAATGAAATACTTGTTTTACAGTGGAGTGGTTCACTTGGGAGGGACCTACAAGACCAACGAGTCCCCCTGCCTGACCTCTGCAAGGCTAACCAGAACCTTAGGCCTTGAATGCATGAGTTCTGACCCCGTGCTGCCATAGGTTTATTAAAGGCTTTATTAAACCTTTTCATGGGAAAATCCTAGACTTACCACTAAACGTATGAGTAATAGAAACCATATAATGAACTACCGTGCTTGCTATAATGAATATTTTAAGCACACCCCTTCAGAGGCAGACTAATACTTTATTATTCCTCTTGATTAGGCTGACTTCGATGGAGCTGCAGAAGATGTTAAAAAATTGAAAACAAGACCAACTGATGAAGAACTGAAAGAACTCTATGGATTCTACAAACAAGCTACTGTTGGAGACATTAATATTGGTATTTCTGTTCCCATATATACATCCAATTTACCCCGTATCTTGAAAACAAGAAAATGTGTTATAAATCTGCTTGATAATTAATGAAGGTATGCATTTATTTTGGCAGAATGTCCAGGAATGTTAGATATGAAAGGCAAAGCCAAATGGGAGGCGTGGAACCTGAAAAGAGGTATTACAGCAATTAAATTTACCTCATGTAATAACTTCAACAGGATGGCAAATAAGAAAAGATAACGACTCCTTTTCTTTGCAGGTATATCGAAGGAGGATGCCATGAATGCCTATATTTCTAAAGCAAAAGCACTGATAGAAAAATATGGGATTTAGAATACTCAGACATCACACTCTGAGTCTTCTCAGTGATGAAGGAAGTAACACTGCAGAGGAGAACGCAGTACTAACTGGTTATTGTGAAATCTAACAGTAAGATCATTTACGCGTGAGCCACCACAGTGCGAAAGGTGTTCACATGCATACTGTGTTTTTAGACTGTATCTTACTCTAATTAAATCTGAGCCTATGAAATAAATGCTTCTGTAAGAGTTGTGGGTTTTGGTTTGTTGGGGTTTTTTTTGGTATAAAATCACATTTAGCATTTCTACAGTGCACACAAGTTCTTAAGGTAAAATAACTTATAATAGCTGTCACTTTTTGCAGCTGATGTTGAATAAAGTGAAGGGTTTATGCATGTGCTGAATGAGAAGAGAGAGAAAAAATGAAAAGTGTTTTATTTTTAAGATACAAAGCTAGAGTTTATTTTCAAAAATCAGAACAACTCTTTAAACCCTTTTAAAGAATTACAGTGAAGATCTTCTGGAGGAACAGAGTAACTTTTAGGCATAACAGTGCAATTCAGCAGAAAGAATGACTTAATTATTAAGTGCTGTAGACTTACACTTGCTATTAAAATAGAGGGAAATACTCATAAAGCAGCATTTTCTATACACTTGGTTATGTGTTTTATCAAGAAAATTTCATTTGAAGGTTCCAGCAGATAAAAGTGACCTCCAGGAAGACTGTAAATGGAAGTATCTCCTCTGGTTATATTGAGCCAGGCTGAAAAAGATATTTAAAGAGTCAGAAATGTAAACTATTCTGGTTATCTTATGAAACCACTTCAGAATTTAGTAATTGCTTTAAATCCCTCATCAACAGCTTTCTCTGTTATTTCATTGTGTCTCTGTTTTATTTAAGAAGGTGATAAAAGACCCCGGAGAATTCTGTTCATGAAATGATTTGCTACAGCAGGGAAATGCCTAACCAGAAAAGGAAGATACTTAAGCAAAGTACCTTCGGCATCATGCACTGTTTCTTCAGAGCCATCAAAGCAGGTGACATCACAAGAGAAGATGGTTTTTCTTTCTGCCTTCTCAAAACTGTGAACATAAAAGGTTTCATTACCATAAGTTTCTCTGTCCTAAGATACCTTTGGGTTTTGGGTTTTGCCTCTATATACAGAATAGCTATTTTTTGCTACTCAAAAACAACATAAACTTTATGGGTTAAATTGTGCAGAACATCAAGAAGTGGAATTACTGTGTTTGTGAGATTCTTAAGTCCTTACACTGCTGCACTTACATCTCAAGTTTTAAAGAAAAAATGACTCAACAGTTAAGAAAAAAGAGCTTTAACCTGCAATGAAAATTCTCTTTGACAATAAAATGTATGCTTTCTGCTTATATTGAAGTTCTGGTATTTCAGGGCCTTATCAGTGTCAGGTGCCTAGGGCCAAAACAGGTCTTTCACTTTGCCACGGTGAGAAACTTAAACTATCCACAACTAGGTAAGCTAGCTGTAGAATAGTAGGTGGCATGGAAGTTTCCTCTCTGTTCCTGGAAGAAAGGGATTCTTCGCTTCTGGTTAGGTTAGTGGTCTTTGGATCAGAAGGCTGAACAACAGGATCCTGAAGCATGACTAGCTTCAAGTTCTACCATGACCTATTCAGTACTGTAATAATAGTTGTGGTGGTTTCATAAGCAGTGTTTTCATTTATGGCAGAAAAAGTAGACATAAAGATACACTAAAGAGAAAGCTATATTTACTGTTTCATATTTTTTAATAGCAGAAAGCAGAGCAAATTGCAGAGGAATAAATAAGTAAAAAAAAACTACTTGAAAGAATCAGGAAGAATGAAAGCTGTAAAATATAAACATCATACAAAGTTGTAAAACTTACGAGTATGTCTGAAGAATGCTAACATCTTTTCTTACAGTAAGTATCAAGTGTTTCTTGATGTCCTCATTTTTCAGAAACTCAGAAGGAGTTCCTCCTAAGAATTTGACATGTTCAAGAATGTCTTCATCCTTTGCTTCGTTTACTTTTCCCATCAGAAGAAATGCTTCAGACTGTGAGCACCAGACAAAAGATCAGGTGTTGTGTGTAATACGCACAGTATTAAATAATACACCATAGTATACAGCACTTTAAATAATATTTTCACTAAGAATTGTTTTAGTAAAAAACTGGGAAGATGCTCTATTACCAGTACTCAGTGGCTGATCAGTTTAACATTTGCTTCTTAGAGAGGGTTAGGAGACAGTGTTTGCTTCTTAGAGAGGGTTAGGAGAGAATGCTTCTTAGAGAGGGTTAGGAGACAGTGTTTGCTATCTGATGGTAAGTGAGAAAAACACTGAGAATTTCAGACACATAGCAATGAATTTGATTTTGACACTCGCTATTGGAATGTAAGGAATAAAACAGTGAAGAAAAGCCTAACTAGTGGGCACGGTGCCCACTGATGTACTGCTGGAGTGACCTAGAGGTTATGGAAAGTTTCAGGACTCATAATTACTTCTAGGAAGCACTAGCTCATGCTCAAGCATGCTTGTTAACAAGTCTCAGAAAGAGAAGAATGAAAGCAGCAAAGAGCAGCTGAACACAGGAGGGCTGGGAAAAAGCCCAGTTGCTGTTATTTTACTGAGAAAGAGCAGGAGAACCAGCAGAACAACCAGAAAATCAGAAGCAGGGGGTACTGAAGGTAAATCAAGAAAGTAAAAAAGGATTAAAAGGAGAAAAAAAATAAATGGCAAATGTGCTGAGGGCTGGTGTGGGAGGCTGATAAAAAACTGGGGTAAGACAGTTATTTCATGTTACAAAGGAGTGTAACTTTTGTGTTTTGTTTTGTTTTGTTTTTAATACTCTGAAGCCAAAGGCCATAGTAAATAATAGAGTATTGAGAAGATCAATGAGATTGCTCTCTCTAGGTTAAAGTTAGCTGTGGTAAATATTCCACTGAAATTCTCCATCCACCTCAGAATTAATATCCTCAAAAAAAATCAGAACACTTTTCTGATGTGGCCTGAAGCTTGCTTTGTTTTAAAGCACTTGACATATACAATACTGTAAAAGGATACCCCAGGTGTTTTACTCGTGCTGGCTAATATTCTGTTCTCTGTTGCACTGGTAATGATTTTGTAACTTACATGTGGGGCATATACCCCTGATAAAAAAAGATGGATCGGCTCTAGTCCATGCTTTTCTTTCAAGTGTACTGCAACTGCATAGCTGATGTAAGCTCCAAAACTGCAGCAAAAAGAGAAAGTAATAAAAGTATAAGTAAAATCTGGAAAACATTAACATAAGTTGAACATTAGTGCTAACTGGCTATCTTTAACAATGACAGAAATTGTAAATACAGTGAATTTTATGGTTCTGTAATTATGACAAATTATAGTGAAATAACTAATTCACACAATATACGTTTCAATACAGGCTAGTTTTACAAATCAGGCCTTTGTTGCCTACATTTATTGTAGTAGTTTCCCAGATTTACAGTAAAGAGAGTTAGTTGAGTAATTGAAACTGAGTGATCTTCAGAACGTGTTTGTTTAATGATTGGTTCACCTCATGCATTCATTAAGGAGTAAATGTTGACACAAATATTAACACTAAACAACTGGAATGTATTAGTGTAAAAAGAAATCACAGCACTGCCATTTTCAGAAGACATTGTACCCAAAGTCATTTAAAAGTAATGTGAAGTAAATACACAGTCTTTGTGATCAGCAGCATCTTTTAGCACAGCTTGACAAAACCTTTGCAGAAATGTATTTGCCAATGGTTTTTGCCAAGAGGGTTGAATAACTGTACAAAACTAAAGTGTTCCTTCACCGGGGTGTCTGAAAATGTATGTAACGTCACCTGTGACCAAAGAAGGCGAATGGTTTTTCTTGCAGATCTTTCAGCAAAGCACTGGTTATTTCATTAATGACAGCTGTCATGTCCTTTGCAAAAGGCTCCTTAGTGCGACTTTCTCTTCCAGGAAGCCTTACAACTGACACTACAGAAGCAACGGAGGAAGAGACAGAAAAGAATTGCAGTCGTTTCAAGTGCAAACAGTAAAGTCATTTTCATTCAGTTTTCTCATTGGTTCTGAAAATATGCGGGTTATGTAAACTAATCCTTTTACAGTTGGTACATTGTGTTTGCTATTCCTACTGTTAACATTTAATCCTGTCATTAACGACAGATCAAGTCTCCATCCCCTCCTTTACTCACAAGTGTTCCCTCTCCCATTGTAGTAATCTATAAAAGCCTCGAGTCAGAAATTCACTTAAAATGATAACAGGCTCAGCAGAGATAACGATCTCAGCAGAGGTTTTAAAGCAATTTTATTGCAGTGAATACTAATAACAATGAAAAATCCACCAATTTCACTAAAAGAATAAAGAATATCCTTTCAAGGGCAGCATTACAAAGTTAACCAACTATCAGAATCATGCAGTCCCTGTGTTCCCCTTGGAAGTCCCTTTGGGGCTGTGCACAGTAAAATGAAGAATCATCTCATAAATCGATGAGCATAGTATGTCTTTTTATTACATTCCTTTCAAAAATTTGGAGTTTTCTCTCACTGCTTAAAGAAAATAAGGAATTAATAGATAGGTAAGAATGTTGGCTTCCTGAATTTCTGAAAGTAATGGGTAAGACACAAAGTATTTTACAAGAGATAGAATAAGCTACTGCGTAGTACCATAGATAATGGTACAAAAATGTTCATGTTTATCTTTTTTTTTAAGACAACTAAAGCATCTGAAAAAGCATGCTGCTTTGTCCCTTTATCCGTCAGGATCTGCAGTTGTTCCTAGGCCATCTCCTAAGTAACTTGGTTGAAAGCCTTTCCTTTTTTCAGTTTTTACTTCTTTTAATTTCTAGGAAAGGTAGATGTGACTTATGCAACAATTTGCAGGAAGCATGCAAGCAGTTCGAGGAGCAGTACAACTGCAATGGCAATGGCCTCCATAAATGCTAAATACTTCCTCTTTTGAGAGGTCTGGGATGAGGCCTTGGTTCCTCTTCGAATAGTTCAGCATTGGATCATTTTAGCACTGATACAGCCTGGCAGCAATGACAATTGCTTCACGCTGTAACTAAATGTAATGTCACTGTTATAAATCCATTGTTTAAACTTAAAATCTGATAACAAGGAGTGCAGAATGATGCAAATGCTCTGGATAAATGAAATTAATTCTGTGCAGCCTCCCAGTGTTAAAAAGTACTTCTTAGCTCTTCATAAGGCTTCTATAAGGCACCACTGATGCCTTGTTTTAACACAGTTAACAATATGCCACTGTGTTGCTGCTTCTGAATATACCAGCAGTTTGTGAGGCAGCAAGCATACTACATGGTCTCCAGAAATTTAGCTCCTAGGATATAACTTTTTAACTTAGTCAAGTATAAGGTACAAGGTGGTACAGAAGCTTAGCAAACCCAGAATCCTAATGGAAATGTGAATTCCTAGTGGAATTCCTTTCTAGATATAAGGTCCATTGGAAAAAAGATTGCAGTGCTCTCAAGAACGTGATATTCTGTTTAAAAAAAATGTGGTAACTACAATTCAGACTGCCCAGCTTTGTTAACTTCTGCTTTAACTACACAAATGACCAACCTTCAATTGAGCTGCTGAAGAGTTTGCCCCATTGAGCAAAGTGAGAAGTTCCACCTCCAGCCCAGGGAAAGCAAATCAGCCTACAGAGAGCATTTGGCCTTTTATATGGACGAACAATCGCCTTCTCCATGCCTGGGAAAAAATAAAAGTAACCAGTATGAAAACATCCCATCATTCTAAAGCAAATCTCTTCAGTTAAAGGAAAATTAAACTGCATTAAGTTTAATTTATAACAGTGGGCTAATATTTTCTATCATCAGAGCTGCTTGCACTGTGACAACAGTCAGTTAGATATGAGATAATCTTCATGCAACAATGAAAACCAGTTTTATAGAACCAGTTTTATAGAATGCTTTTATAGAGGTGATGGAATAGCATTGGGCAACACCTTTGGCAGTATCTTCTTCTATTTGAGTCATTGGCCACAAGGAATATTGCAAGCAGCAAAAGAAATTGATCTAGGGTTTCGAGTTGGCTCTTCAAAAACACAGGCTTTTAGAAGATATCCCAAAATATAAGATCCATCTGAAGACATAGAAAACACAATGATCACATAGTTCGGTATTCTGTCTATAAAAGCAGTGACAATGGACCTCCATGGAACAGCTGGATGCAGTTTCTTTATATACAGAAAACATCTATGAAATTTCTCATTTTTGTGTTTATCCAGTCTCCCCTTACATCCACATAGTCAGCATCCACAACACCCTTTTGCAATGAGTTGTACTGTCCATTGCACGAAGAATGATTTCTATTCTGAATCTGACTCCTACAACTTCTTTTGATGCCCTCAAGTAGCCACATAAGGAATGCAAATGGGAATCCCTCCGAATCTCCGCTAAGCATTTCTGAAATCGTCTGTCACATTCTCTCAGCCCTCATTCAGCTTCCAGAACGAAAAAGCCTGGCTTGCTTTAATAATCTTCATATGGCAGTGCTTCTGCATTCATGACTATGATCATTGCCCTTTTCTATTCTCTCATTTTGTTGTACCCTTTTTGAGATGATGGAATTACCAGAACCACGCTTAGCTGTAGCGTAGCAGCTTTAGTGCTTCTGGTTACTGACAGACAGACGTAGCACTGACGTAAGATCTGTAACTACTCTGTTCTTTTTACTGAGAGGAGAAACAGGATCAAAGAGGCCAGCTGCATTGTTCTTAAGTCTTTTCTATCAGAAGAGTTATTCTCAACCATTCTTCTTCTTTCTTGACTTTATTATTGAAGGTTAGGTTGGTGGACATGAGCACAGAGGTGACATCCCACTGCTTACTGCATACCAGGCTCTTTTCCCCCAAACAGAAATACCAGGCACAGATAAATTGCTTAGAAGTGACAGTGAAATAGAATTTGTAGAAAATCTGCAACCATTGAAATAAACTCACAGGTTCCTGTTAAAAAGACTGTAAAACTAATAGGAGATAAATATAAACAGCTTAAAAAAGAGCAACATTTCCAAGATGCTTACAGTCATCACAGGTATTACTTCTCACTCTGAATACAGCTTGGTATATGTAAGAGTGGATGACTGTTCATAAAATAAACCTATATGCTTATATGTAGTCTTTTTTACCTGCTTACAAAAGTATGAGAAATGCAACCAGATCAGAGTAGGCAGCAATTCTTACCAATTTTAATGCAAACAAGAAAGAAGAAAATCTATTGTGATGCTGCTGTAACTAAAATTTTGTAGATTTTTGGGCATGTTTAAATTAACATCAACATTTATTAAGAAGAATCATTTCAAAGAAACTCTAAGAAAAGCAAGCCAAGCAAACTTGGATCAAAAGTTAACTGGCAAAAGATGTGTCTCAAAGTCAGTGAGGTATGGAGGAACCACTACAGCAGAAGCCATAATTCCTTAGGTAGATTCACACAGCATCAGTACCACCAGTCCCATTTACACATTCCTCACAAAGACAGAAACAAACATTTTGGAAGCCTCTTAACTTGGCAGACAAGTAAGAATAGAAAAATCTCTTTTCAAACCGATTCTAAAGATGACAGAAAAATTGCAGGCATGAGGAAGAAGCACATTTAGCCGAGTCTTTAAACTATTTCATGATACATTACCAGTCACTGAGAATCTTTCACGCTTTCTACTCATACAGGTTTATCCCGTTATTGTCCAACTTACCTTAGAAGCAAAGTACCTGAAAAATCACCAGTGCAAGTGCCAAGAAATGACAGCCCAAGGGCTGAATCAGTGCTCTGTAACGAGAAGAAAGAATCAAACTTTATGTATCAGCAGATGTGAGGTGAAGCCAGTCGTGCAGGTGAGGAAGGAATATGATTCAGGTGGAAGAGTCGCTCGCTTTATGTCTTTTCTGAAGGGGAGGAGTCTATGCATAGAAAAAAGGCAGGGACTGAAGCATAGAACATCCCAAAAAAAGACTGGGACATCTGGGCGTGACATCAAGCGGTGTAAGAAGGGTGTCCACATCGATCCCAGCAATTTAAGCAGCATAGGTTAGCACACCAATGACAGCATGGAAGTTGTGGCAATTTTACTACTGGCAGTCCACAACCTAGATGAAAAAAAAAGCCTTTGCAAAGCAACCAAGAAAAGCCAGCCGTTTAGGAAAGCTCTGTTCAGATTTACAGCGCTCACACCACTGCTGGGCAATTTTGTAAAGGGCTGAAGATGTGAACGTCATTGTCTGATTTAAATAAGACCCTACATTTGTTTACTGGGGCAGTTATAATTTCAACAAGCTGGAAACATGAACACACTGGTTACATGTGATGGTTTTGTGTCATCTCCCAAGTTGTGCTTCTGAAGATGCTATCAGCAACCTAAAAATCCCTGTGTATTTTGTAACTGCATTCGTAGCACTAGGAATATTGCCATCTTTTTTCTTCTTTTTAGTATTGCTCTAACAAAAATAACAGCAATAGTAATAAAGTAAGGATATTCCAAAGCATTGGCCAAAACTAACAGACCAGAGTGCCAAAGTGTGTTGTGATCCTTAACTTAAGATACATCAGTTGGATTACTCTGTAGTTTTCACATTATTGCTGCTACTGCTGCCCAGAGAGCAGTGGGTGCCCCAGCCCTGGAGGTGCTCAAGGCCGGGTTGGATGGGGCCCTGGGCAGCCTGAGCTGGTGGGGGGCAAACCTGTCCATGGCAGGGCAGTGGGACTGCATGGGCTTTAGGGTCCCTTCCAACCCAAGACCTTCTGTGATTCTGTCACTATCATTATTCTCCATTTTTCCATATCTCTCTAGGAGACTGAGAAATGTGTGGTGTTGGTTGAAAAGCGCACTTGCTGGCCCAGCCAGTCAGCTGGGCTTCCCCAGGTGAGGTCTGCAGCCTTCCGTTCACTGCTGATTTCCTGCTGTCCTGGGAACTCTCAATCAGGACAAAAGACCTCATGCAAACGATAACAAGAAAGCCTTCCCCATCCCTCCTCTCCCAGCTGCAGCCGTTTCCATGGGAACAGGCATGGGGAAGGCGAGGGCTTGGCAGTGAATGCTAATCACGGGCTCTGCAAACTTCCAGATGGCCAAAGTCAGAATGCCAACAGCCGCTAAGGTTCTTTCATAGCACGTCTGTGTCGCAATTAATATGAAGTAAGATGCGGCACACCTATGTTTGGAAGGTGCACAATTTAAAGCAGCTTATAGTGGCTGACTAGTCCTGACCTGTGCTGTTATGCCCAGCAGGGCTTCTCCACATGATGCTAACAGACGCATCTGCTTATAACTTACCATTTATAATAAAGCTCCTGATGTGCTATATTTACTCCAGCCTCACATGGTGGTAATTATCAAATCAGACACATAACACTGATGTCCTGAAAGCCGGCTTTAAAACATCAGGTCCAGCAATGTTGCTCCTAGAGTAATAAAATATTACTGGAAATGACTGTTTTCTAACTAAGGTTGAAAATAAAATATGTTAAGAATAAGATTCTGAAAGCACAGCATTAAACAAGTAGCATTTCCTTAAGAACAGTGAATTACAAGTTGTAAGTTCTGGTTGGTTTTGTTTACCTTCTAACTTTTTCTCTCAGTATCAAAGAATGTTCATTTTTCAAACAAAAATTGGTGAATTAACATTTTCACAAATGAAGTATTTCCAACAGATGCTACTCTCAACCAAAATTATTTTTCACTTTCATCTTCATCCCTAAGAACAAGGTCTTTACAGAACCAAATTTGCCAACTGCAGAAGTCCAGAATTTCCTCCTCCTTAAAGATTTCTTAGCTGCTGCTCTATTGGCAATTTTCAGTCTCTTTTGTGCAACAACAGGAATACAAAGGGACCTAGCAGTAGGTCACGAAGACCTCATGTCTAGTGTTTCACTGAGAGTGAAACACTAGACAACTGACAAGTATGATTCTATCAGAAATAATGATGAAAGCAAGCATATTTTTTATGCACTACTTACAATTCTGGAAGCCAAACAATGTAATCTTTGTCTAGGAGTAAAACCATTGCTGGAGCAGTTGCAATTCACTAAAAGTAATTTAACGTGTCTCATTTTGAAAGTTAAAATCAGCACATACAGATCTCTGCAGTAAAGCAAAAAAGGAGCACTGTTTCTTGGTTGCACACGTAAGATTTGAAGAACTAAGTCATGTATGTTGCTTTATAAAGGTTGGCTCTTATTATAGCCCATTGTAAAATACATTGGATTATATGTACTGCAAGCCATTTAATTTGCTTTCTCCTCTGTAAATCATCGCTTACTGTCAATAATTATTATTTTAACAAACCTTTGCCATTTTAGCATCTTTACTACAACTATGCATTACTTTGTGGTCACTATTCTTCAAAGGATAAACTTAAATCTTTCCCTTTTAGGAGTATTCATGGAGAGACATGCAATTAAGCAGTTCTCATTCTACCTGAAGGAAGAGCTGCAGTAAGCTTCCTCTCTAGGACAGTCTTGAGACAATCTTAAATAAATGAAAAATGTCCCTTTATTGCTTTTAAGTATGCAGAAGTAAATATGGACTGAAAAGCAGAATTTACAAAATGGAAGACTTCAGAGATGTATTAGAGACTGGGAAAGATGAGTGCCACCAGATAGAGTACTGAATAATCTCACCTGGAATTCTGCCTATCATACTGGTCAGCCTCTTCAATAAAGGTAACTTCAAGCTGGATTAGATAGCTAGAATACAGAGCTTATGCAAGAGAAGTGAGGGCACTTTGAATAACGAGTACAGACTGTCCATGAATTTAACCATAACTAGAAATAGGATTTTAACCCATCACATTCTGAAATAGCTTTCCAGACAAGAGCAGAAAAACTAGCTGTGTTAAGATGGCAATTCAGGTTATTAAAGTGGTTGTATAACATGGGTGAACCCTTTCGGTACCACACTGCTATTAGCTTGATGAAGGAATGCATCTGCAGACAAGGAAAGAAAGCCAGCTAGCTGCAATGCTGAAAGAACAGTTCTGCTAACAGAGGGCCAGTTTACTTTAACAAATACAAAGCCCTTTTCATTACTGTACTCAGTATGTAGTGTATGCAATAAAGTCAGACCACTAAAGCCTGGTAACTAAGAAAGAAAATAAAATAAAGGTGTATTAAAAATAGAGAAAACAAGAAATCTGGAGGGACTAGGACTCATAGAAAAGCTGGCTTTTCAGCCTTGCACAGGATTATTATGTGTAGAAGTTACATTAGAAATGTTCAGTCTGTATACAGGACTGACTATGGAAAATATAACAAAATGAAATAGATGCAGTCTGGGTACAGACTGGGTACAGTGACAGTGATGGAAATACGGATAGGTGATGATGGCAGCAACTGATGATGTGTTGATGGTTGTACTAGATGATCTTACTGGTCTTTTCCAAACTTAATGATTCCACATACTGTTGTCTCAGATGCATCACACATCTTCAAAAGCAAATTTGGGTCTTCAGTATTGGAAAACTAGTTAACAGCTTGGGGACAAATCTTATTCTATAGAAATGTTTTCAATCAGTAAGGAAAACTAAAATGTTCTAGGCAGGGACCCAAACATTATCCGCTTCTTTGACTGAAGATCAAGATATAAAAACTGACTGCAGCACTTCCAGGAAGCAATAACAAATGAGAGAAAAGTGATCAAGTGCTACAAGCTATTAAGACAATGCAAACTGTCAGTAAGAAAGCTACTCTTAGTGTTCTGCTGCTTGTAAATAAAAATAAATAGTAGTCCTATAAACACCACAGTTATCCTCAGTGCAAAAAAAAAAAAAAAAAAAAAAAAGAAAGAAAAAAAAAAAGGAAAACATTATTGGTACTGTAAACTCCATTCCATTCATGGGAAAAGATAGAGACATTTTTCAAGAACTCAACGTGAACCTGAAGTCAGAAAAAGAGT